TGCCCAGCTAATTTTTCTATATATTTTTAGCTGTCCAATTAATTTCTTTCTATTTTTGGTAGAGACGGGGTCTTGCTCTTGCTCAGGCTGGTCTCTAACTCCTGAGGTCAAACGATCCACCCGCCTGGGCCTCCCAGAGTGCTAGGATTGCAGGTGTGAGCCACCGTGCCTGGCCCCCAGCTGTGTCTTAATCAGCATTTTGCCTGAGCATCAGTGGTGGCTCCAGAAGATGAGCTGGAGGTGGTGGTCTTAAGAGGGGCTGAGCTCCTCACTTGGCTTTTCTCTGGCGAAATGAGACCAGGCACAGGGCTGAAGACAGAAGAGGATGGGGGAAGGGGACCAGCCTTTGTGACCTCCCCACCTCCCAAGGGTACAAGGCCAGTGCCATTTTCCTAAAGATGAGTGGTTTCCAGTTTCACAAAAGGGATGGCAGACAAGGAGTGCCTTGGTTGAAAAAAAGAAGAAAACCTAGGAAAGGAAATTAAATGAATCACATTTACTGAGCCCCTACCTTGATGACAACTAATGCCCTGGGCTCAGGCGATGGGGATGCAGGCCTCACTCCCCTCCTCCCTCCCTCCGAAACTCACAGCTGAGTCAGGGAGATTCCCGCTGTATGATGCAGCACAGACAGGGCCAGAGACGCAGGGAGCACATCACCTCTGCCTGGGGTGGTGTGGGGAAGACTTCAAAAGAAGGTGACTTTTGACCAGGGTCTTGAGGCATGAGGAGTTCAAGAGGTGGAGGAGATTGGGCGAGTGCATTCTAGGCAGTGGAAAATGTGACCCGGAGGTGGGAAACAGCAGCCTGTGTGCGGAGAAACTCAGTTGTGGCTGAAGTGTAGAATCCAGGGGTGAACGAGGAGTGAGTGGTCGGACATGGCGGTGTGTTGTATGCAGGGCTGGCGTGCAGTGGAGGGGATATGGCACAGAACTGGAAGGCGTGGGCAAGAGGAAATGGCATTGGACAGGTGACTGGCACAGACCCAAGACAGGAAAGACAGGTGACCACAGGGTGGAGGATAAGCCAAGCCTTGGCACAGACCCAAGGGGTGGGAGGCCCTGGCATTGCTGGTCACCATGGAGCCTCTCCGCGGGCGCACTGTCCTCCCCCGGGGACTGGGGATGGGTGGGGGAGATGGGGCGGGGAGGAAGCCAGCCAGCCGCAGGGAGAGAAAGTCCAACCTCCGCGGGCGTTCCTCGCGCCCGGCCGACCTCCCGGGCGGGGGCGGGCACCAAGGGAGCGGCCCTGCCCGCGCCGCGCGGAGCTCACGGACACAGGTAGGAAGGCAGAGGCGCAGGGGACTGGCCGGCCGGGCAGCAGGGACGGCACGCCCCAGGGCTTCTGCAGGAATTTGCTCCGCCTGGCTGGCGGCAGCGGCGGCGTCCGTGTCAGAGAAAGTGGGGGGCCCGAAGGCGACCCCGCCCCAACTTCCTCCGCCGAGGTGGCGCAGGGCCCAGTCACCGCTCGGGGCCGGGGTGGGAGGTCGCCGGCGGGAAGGAGACGCCGAGAGCCGCGGGGGCTGGTGCGGGGCGGCGCCGGACCCTCCCTCCGTCGGACGCGGTTCCCTGTGCGTCGCCGAGAGCCGCGGGGGCCATGGCCTGGCGCGCCCCAGTCCGGGAGCCCCCGCCGCGGCGGGTACCTGCCCGGCCACCGCCGGGCCCCCCGTGCGGGACAGCACCTCTCCGCCCTCGAGGGGCGCGCCGGGCGCGTTCCCGGGCTGGGGACGCGGGGCAGACGCAGGGGAGAGCTTTGCGTGCGGGGCGCACGGGGAAGGGCGTCGTGCCGGCCACGGCGGTCCCGGAGTCAGCTGGGGGCAGTGAGGGGTGAGGCGCCCGTGGGCTCGGTCGGCGTCCGCCTTCCCTCCCCGCCTCGGGTCTTGGCTGCGGGCCGCAGACGCCGCGCCCCTGCCCGCCGCCTTCTGCCCGCGTCCTCGGGAACACGACGTCGAGGGGGCCCACCCTGCGTGCTGGGGCCACCCGGTCCCTGCCCTTGGGAGGCCGGGGGAAGTCGAGGCCGAAAGGCCTGCGGAGTAGCCCAGTGGTCACACCGAAGGCTGGCCTGTAGTCGGGCGAGTCGTTTGCCACCAAATGAATTGAAAAAACTGAACTTTTCAGGCTCTCGGGACTTTGAAATTGCAGATATGGGCTCTAGTCCAGATTGTAGCGGGGGTGTACTAGGGGCAAATCTAAGTAAAATTCTTCTGTCCTCCTTGAGCCTCCCTGCCCCTCATTAGCCCTAGGGCGGCCCCTGCTAACCCCCTTCCCCTCCGTGCAGTTCCGGGAGCTGCCCTCGACAGAGCAGAGGCAGGGCCTGGCAGCAGCCCCCCTCGCTCACCCCTGCTGCCCCAGGAATCATGAAAATAACGAATCACTGTGCCAAATTAACTAGTATGTACGTCATCCAGTGAGCCAGGTTACATTGTGCTGAACTTGGCTTATGTATGCTGTCTTACCCTTGTAAACTGAAGTCATTTTTTTTTTTTTTGAGACAGAGTCTCACTCTGTTACCCAGGCTAGAGTGCCATGGCGTCAGCCTAGCTCACAGCAACCTCAAACTCCTGGGCTCAAGCAATCCTTCTGCCTCAGCCTCCCCAGTAGCTGGGATGACGGGTGTGCACCACCACACCCGGTTAATTTTTTTCTATTTTTAGTAGAGACGGGCTCTCGCTCTTGCTCAGGCTGGTCTCAAACTCCAGACCTCGAGCAATCCTCCTGCCTAGGCCTCCCAGAGTGCTAGGATTACAGGCGTGAGCCACTCGCCCAGCCTTGAAGTCATTTTATACCTTAAAAAAAATTAGAACATTGGTAGAATTACAGATTTTAAAATTGAAACTACAAGACAGTACTTGTTTAATGTTTTGTGCTTACCTGTGCATATTGCCTATGTCATCACTCCGACACAGTGACATGTACACACATGCACACATACTGCACAGGGTGTGCAGATGGGGCATGCATACACCACCCTGCAGACACACACACACACACACGCACCAGACTGCACCCAGGCCTGCTGTGCACATTGTGTAACACATTGCATGCATGCACACGCCAAACTCCACCCAGACACTGCACACACGCTGCTTATGCAGCTGCCCTGCAGAAAAATGCTGGTTTGGGCTTAAAATAGCATAGCAGTTGGGTGGGGTGGCTCATGCCTGCAATTCCAGCACTTTGGGAGGCCGAGGCGGGAGGATCACTTGAGGCCAGGAGATCGAGACCAGCCTGAGCAACACTGCAAGACCCTGTCTCTTAAAAAAAAAAAAAAAAAAAATTAGCCGGACGTGGTGGCTCACACCTGTAGTCCCAGCTACTCGGGAGGCTGAGGCAGGAGGATCGCTTGAGCCCAGGAGTTGGACGTTACTGTGAGCTGTGATGCTAGAGCCACTGCACTCTAGCCCAGGTGACAGAGCAAGATATCCGTCTCAAAAAAAAAAATATATATATATATATATAATTAACATTTTGAAAATATTTGAGTTTTAAAAATGTCTTCAGAGACTTTCATCTTTTTAAGGAAAATCTATATTGCGAGTTTTTAAACAACTGATGTAAATGGCTTTTTATAAAGAAATCCCTTGCTCAAAACAGTGAGTCTAATTTAGATTCTGAACTCCCAGTTTTTCAAGGACATTGAAGTATTTTTAATTGCTCTCTCTGTTTTCCTCTGGAACCCTGAAACAAGTTGTTCCTGAACTTCTGCCAGTTGTCGACGGGCCCTGTCTGGCTCTCGCGTGTGAGCTGCACGGCCGGTGTGGGCGCCTTGTTCTCCACTGCGCACCGCGCTAGCTACGGTCCCAGTGCGGGTCTCCTGGTCACCTGTGAGTCACCTCGCCCACACATCCGCATTCATTCGGGGCAGCTGTCGGAGCCCCGGGCTGCAGCAGCGCCGGGTGGCGCCCTGCCCCTGCGCCTGCCCCCGCGCTGGCGCCTCCCCGAGGCTCTAACCCGCTGCCTGTCCCGCAGGCGGAGATGCGGCTGCTCCTGCTCCTGCCCCTGCTGGCCCCGGCACCCGCGTCCGCGGTGAGTGCGGCCCTGCCCCGTCCCCGGGAGGACCCTGCGGGGAGGCAGGGGCGAGGATGCGTGGGTCTCTGGCTGGTTGGAGCCCACCAGCTGCGGCGACATCCCAGGAGAGGGGCAGTGTCGGGGAAGATGGGAAGGGAGGAGGCAAGCCGGCCGGCCCGAGCTCCTTCAGAAAGGGCTGGGACCATGAAGCCAGCTGGCCAGGGTGCAGGTTGCAAGGATGGCATCTTCTCACCACCCTCCCCCTTCACAAGGCGGTAGGTGCACTTCATGGAGGAGCAGTTAATGCTGGTCCCCTAGGTGCTCTTCTAATGTGGAAGGACAGATGGGGTTTGGGGGGTGGGCAATGCTGGGACCAACCAAGGTGCAGGGCTAGGTAGCCCATCCCTGCAGACACCTGTCACCTGGAACTAGTTGCAGCTTCAGAGGTGTGGGGTGCCTGTCATTTCGTGTCCCCTTGGAGTTAGCACTAGAGCAGGACTGTCCAGTAGAACCTTGAGATGATGGAAAAGTTCTGTGTCTCTCTGTCCAGCAGGTAGCCGCTAGGTCCATGTGGCTCTTGAGCACTTGAAATGTGGCTTGTGCAACTGAGAAACTGAGTTTTAATTTTATTTGCCTTTAATTTAAATTTAAATAGCCACATGTGGCTAGTGGCCATCATATCAGACTGCACATTTTGAGAGGGGATAAAAGAAGCCAACTGGTGATCAGAGTAGCTGTTTCATTAATGGGGCTCCCTGGGGAAGGTAGTGGGTTCTGAGGACACACAGGAAATCTTGATCGCAGGACCCGCCTTCGGGGAGGAGAGGGTCTGGGAGCTGGGTGCTGCCCTGCTCGGTGCCTGGCAGAATAAAGGGCACAGAGGCAGCCAGGCCCTGTCCTGCCCCTGGAGAGCTGTCCCCAAGGAGAAACCCACAGCCCTGTCCACCCTTCTATGAGGCAGGCAGGAAGTGAGTGAGGAAGGGTCCTTGAGAAAGGACCCAAACTGCTGCCTGTAGAAGGCGGGTGGCAGTGCTGCCTCTGTGGGCCGGTGGGTGGGGGTTGAGCAGGGCTCCTCTGACAGGCTGGCGTGGGGCAGGCAGGGGTGGAGGTGGGCGCTGGGCCCGCCTCCAAGAGCCCCACAGATCCAACATGGGCCACAGAGGGTGGGCCAGAGCGGGTGGACCAGCCTTCCTCAAGTCCTCTCCACCACCTGCCAGCTCCCCACAGTCACCTCTGCCACCCCGTGGACCTCGCTCTTAAGAACTGAAGAACACTCTGAGGTTCTTCAGTGTGTGCTGGTACCCCAGCTGCAGGAAGGCCAAAGCCCAGGGGCAGGGGCCACTGGGACAGTGTGAAGGCCCCAGGATGAGATCCCAGAGCCACCCTGTAACAGCTGCATGACCCGAGGCAAATCACCAACCTGTAGATTCCTCTAATTTGGGGGTAATAATGCCCACCCCAGGTTGTCGTGCAGATGAAACCAATCGAGGTTTATGGAGCACCCTGGATCCTATTAGGCCCTTTCTCTCTTAGAAACACCTGAGCAGCCTTCGCCTGCCACCTCCTACTCCCAGTGTGGGCGTCTCAGGAGGGTCTGGGCACGGCCTGGGCCGGGCACTCTCCTCCCCCTACCTTCCGCCTGTCTGGTGGAGGGGCTGTGGCCCTGCTCACAGCTCAGCTGCCCCTGTTTCTGATTCTAGCTGGGGCAGGGTCCACCACCGGGTCCTGAGCACCTCCTCAACATCCCTCTAGTGCTGCCAGGGGTCAGCGTGAACAGAGCGAGTCAATGACTAACAGCTGTGGACTGTGGGTCCGCGTGCCCCAGCCTCTGCTCCTGCACGCGTGCTCGCTGTCTCTCGCACCCCCACGCACACTGGGCGGCTGATTCCCCTGGAAACTGCAGCAGGCAAGGGGGCCCCTGGGTGGCTCAGGTAGGAGTGGAGCAGGAGTGGGTGGGGTGCTGACAGCAGCAGCGACAGGTGTGGGCAGGCCCAGGGTGAGGCTGGGCTGCACCAGCTCTTTCTGCTTCACACCGTCGTGCACTTAGTGGTTTGGATAATTACAGAGAAACAGACCGTGCCTTCTGAAGAGACAGTGTGCGGTGAGTGGACAGAGCACGGCTCTAGGATCAGACCCGGCCAGGCTCCTTAGGCACATGTGCTGGTGCCCTGGGCTGGTGGGTGCCTGCCTCACAGGCGCTGGGCGCAGGGAGCAAGAGGATGTTCCAGAGGGATGCGTCCTGGGCGGGGCCCTGTGTTCAGGCCAGTCTTCCCCGACCTCAGCCTGCCAGCCACAAGGTGGCTCTGTGGCAGAGGCACCCCTTATTGCCCTGGCCACACCTTGGCCCAGCCCAGCTCTGGGGAAGGGTGGATTTGCGGAGGGAGGCTCAGGTTGCAGTTCAAAGGAGCCAAGACAGACATCTGAGCGGGCCTTGGGCCTAATAACCAGGCCAGGCCACAGGTGAGAAGGCAGCAGCCCTCCAGGGCCGCTTTGTGAATTCCTATAATGTGGGGATCAGGCTTTGTGCGTATGGCGGGAGGGGGGGGCAGAATCCCAGCCAGGACTGCAGGGTCTCCCTGGAAAGTCACCCCCCACCCCCAACACTCAATATCCTCCCTTTTAAAATAAAAACTTGATCCAAGTCCATTTCAGTTTAAAATTTCATTGAGAGAACACACTGATAATTTGGTTCACTGGTTTCAAAAGCTTGGAGATTTTGTCCCAGTTAGAACTGAAGGAGTAGATGATTTTAAAAAGTGAAACCTGGCCGGGCGCGGTGGCTCACACCTGTAATCCTAGCACTCCGGGAGGCCAAGATGGGCGGATTGTTTGAGCTCAGGAGTTCGAGACCAGCCTAAGCAAGAGCGAGACCCCCCCCCACCCCGTCTCTACTAAAAAAAAAATAGAAAGAAATTATCTAGACAACTAAAAATATATAGAAAAAATTAGCTGGGCGTGGTGGCTCATGCCTGTAGTCCCAGCTACCTGGGAGGCTGAGGCAGGAGGATCGCTTGAGTCCAGGAGTTTGAGGTTGCTGTGAGCTAGGCTGACGCCATGGCACTCACTCTAGCCAGGGCAACAGAGTGAGACGCTGTCTCAAAAAAAAAAAAAAAAAAAAGTGAAAGCTAAGACTTTTGGTCTGCCAGGCCCGTCCTCCTTGATTTTGTGTGCAGTTCAGCAAATTTACTGCGGTTCTGCTTCAGGGTTCTGACTTCTCTTATAAAACAAGGATAACTAGATGTTTGGTGTCAGGGGTGTTAGATGAGCCTCTTCCTCACCTGAGATCAGTGAAGTTGCTCGAGGCTCACAGTGGGAGGAAGAGCTTGCTTTTCCACATTACCACTGAGCTCTTTCTCTTAGGAGTGTTTTTTTCCTAGAGATTCTTATGTCCTGAGATATTAAAATAGAGTTCCCCTCCAGCAAATGGGCCATGTTTGCAGTAAACCGTCTGCCCCCTGACAAAACTGAAATCAAGTCTAATACCTGTCCAGTTCCTTAGGACTCATCTAGTATGTCATTTGATTCCCCCAGAGAGGTAGGTGGGAGCAGAGGCTTGGAGTGAGGCTGGCTTGCCATTGTGTCCACTTGTTCCTCTGTGGCTTCCTCTCTCTCTGCCTCACTTTTCTAATCCATGCAGTGGAGTCTATTGGGTTGTTCTGAGGATTAAATGAGAGAATGTGCATTTAGCACGTGGACTTCTGATGCCAGCCACAGGGTGTCGTATCTTGCTGGTGGGAAACTATGCGTTAGGATTAAATGCCTTTTGCAGAGTCCCAAATAACAGTCCTTCGAACAAGACAGACTTGATCCCTCTCCCGGGATCTCTGTTCTGTTGTGTCTCACAAAGTCCTCTGAGCTCTAAGAGCTCTCTTTGCTTCACTGTTTAAAGCCTCTATTTCTAAATTACCTGAGAGCCTAAAAGGCTGCTCCAACTCCAGCCATCACATCTGCTTTCCAGCCAGCAGGAGGGAATACAAGAGGAAGAAGAAAACTACAAATGTACATGCAAGCTATCTCTTAAGGAGATTATGAGAGGCTGTTGCCCAACACTTATAATTTACATCCTACTGATGGGAACTTACTGATGTAGCCACAGTTGGCTGCAGGAAGTCTGGGAAATGTATTTTTTATTTTGGGCAGCCAGGTACCCAGCTAAGAGTCAAGTTTTCAAGGGTCTTCTCACAACAGGAGAATGGGGATGAATATTGGCGTACTCCTGGGAGTCTCTGCCGCAGATGGGCAGGAAGAGACCACACCCATGTTGCTTCCCTTTCCTATTTTCCTTTAGTCCCCTCCCCCCAATCACTGTTAACCCACAAATACCCGGGCCCTCCCTCAGGTGGCCCCTGGAACTCCAGATTTTCCGAGCTGCCTCACCACTCTCACCCCCCAGGCCTGGCTCTCAGCTCCTAATTATAAAGCTGGCTACATATGTAAATGAAGACGTTTTGGGGTGCCTGGCAGTGTTCCTGAATCCTAAGGGGCTGGCTCCAGAGGGAGAATCTCAGGCTCCTCGAATGGGAGGAGTGTTTTTCGGCAGGGTGCCCTTGGGGGACACCGGGGCTCATGCTCCGAGCGTGTCGTCTTCTGCAGGCTCCCCAGGTGAGGCGGCAGAGTGACACTTGGGGCCCCTGGGGCCAGTGGAGCCCCTGCAGCCGGACCTGCGGAGGGGGCATCAGCTTCCGGGAGCGCCCCTGCTACTCCCAGAGGTAGGGAGGCGTGAGGGCAGGCACAAGGGAGGCTGGCTGCTGGGTCGTGGGCTGGGTCACATGGGCAGAACCCACCAAGCAACAGATTCGTTCTGGAAGCAGCATCAGTGGCGTGCAGGAAATCAACTCACTTCCCATGTACTGACACTGTGGACCGGAGCACGTCCCCTTCGTGTGTCCCTGAGTCTCTGGATCCCGGTGTGGCGCCTGGCATAGGGCAGGTGCAGTAAATTGTCATGGAATTAATGACTAATCGTCAGCAGGCAATTCCTAACTCCTGTGGCTTCTCTGCCCTCAGCCTGTGTCGAGTACAGGTGTTCCCCGTTCCAAATGAGGTACTGAGCACTTACTAGGCTGCAGGGGTGGGGCACGAAAGCAGGGGCAGTGCGGCTGTCCTGTCGGTGGTTTGGCAGGCTCTTGTTCCTGAGGACCCTGTGTGTGAGGAGAGACCAGGTATTACTCTAACATGCCTTACACTTACGTACTCCTTACATCGCTGAATAACCTTACCGCGTGGGTACATTTATCTTACTTATCTCCAAGGGCAGAACTTGGGTATTCTCTAGAAATTTGCTCTGAGAGGCCGGGGGCCCGAGTTAGACAAGCCTCGGGACAGTGAGGCTTGAGTCTTGCTTCTCCCAAGCACAATCATGGGGCCAGTCACACCTGCCTAAAGTGGGCGACGTGGGAGGGCGCCCTTCCTCGCCTTGCGGTGCCTGTGGCCCAGCTGCGGGCTGCAGGAGAGGCCTGGGAGGGGGCGGAGGTGTTGAGTCACCGGGCCGGGTCCTCCCGGTGCTCTGGTCCCGCAGGAGAGATGGAGGCTCCAGCTGCGTGGGCCCCGCCCGGAGCCACCGCTCTTGCCGCACCGAGGTAAAGCCCCCGGGGCAGCCGCTCCGGCTCATCAGGCTGGCCTGGGAGCCCTCCTGCCGGGGTTGCACGCGAGGGGCTGGGACGCGGCGCGGGGACGGGGACCCAGGCCTGGCCCGGGCGGGCGCCTACACTGGCCACCCCTCCCCCGGCCCGCCCGCAGAGCTGCCCCGACGGCGCGCGCGACTTCCGGGCCGAGCAGTGCGCCCAGTTCGACGGCGCGGACTTCCAGGGCCGGCGCTACCGGTGGCTGCCCTACTACGGCGGTAAGCGGTGGGGACGCCCCGTGTAACAGATGCTGCGCCAAGTCGTGCAAAATCACCAGTGCCCCAGCACGTGCCCACCGCAGCCCAACGCTGGTGATCGTTTGGAGGTCTTGCCATCCTTCCTTCCTTGTGCGTGTGTTTTCGGACAGGGCCCTGGCGTGTCTATACCGTTGCAAGCCCCCTGTTCAGCCTGCAGGCTGAAGCATCCCCCGCGTGGGGCCGTGGCGGGTTGGTGCCCCCTTGGGCTAACTGGGGCTTGATAGAGCGAGACCTCATTTCCCCAGGGTCGGGGGCCTGAGGGGATGGTCTGAGTAACTCTGAGGCGGCGCAGGTTGTTAATTTTTAGAGAAATACAGTCCAGGAGAACACCACCAACACGCATGGCACTAAAACATCTTAGAAGAGTCAGAAGATACCTTAGGTCAGGATAATCTTTCATATTAGTTTTCACTGCTCGCTGCAAATGCGCCCTGGAAACTCCAGGGATTCCAAATCAGTGAACGCTCATGTCCTGTGTGTGTTTGTTGCGGGAGGGTCTGGGCCTCGGTGGGGCCCTTTGGCATTCAGTCCTCCTCTGGATCCTGAGACAGACCTGGGTTAGAAATCATTTAAGTGCTGGGCAAGGTGGCTCATGCCTGTAATCCTAGCACTCTTGGAGGACAGCTTGAGCTCAGGAGTTCGAGACCAGCCTGAGCAAGAGTGAGACCTGTCTCTCCCCAAAATAGAAAAAATTAGCCGGGCATGGCGGCGCACGCCTGTAGTCCCAGCTACTCAGGAGGTGAGGCAGGAGGATTGCTTGAGCCCAGGAATTGGAGGTTGCTGTGAGCTATGAAGACACCACTGCACTCTACCCAGGGTGACAGAATAAGATCCTGTCTCAAATTTTTGTTTGCTTGGGTTTTTTTTTTTTTGAGTATTATCCACATTCTAGAAAAATTGGAACATAGAGGAAGGTCTAAAAAGAGTGGTAGAAGGTGCCTTCCTTGTTAAGATGATTATGATGCTGTTTGCACTTTCTGCTGTTTAAACAATGAGTATCCATAGGGTGAGTGTAACTTTGTTTTTATCTATCTATCTCTTTCACAGGATCACCGTTAGCATTTCATTCTAGCCCTTTTCACATTGTTTTCTTTGTATATGTTTACTTGTTTGTGATTATTACCTATCACCATTTTGTGTTCTGGGTTATAAGCATCTTCCCACATCTTCATAATCATTTTTAACGGCACAGTCCGCGTGCGTAGTATTCTGTTCATAATTTAAAGAGCAGCCCGTTGTTAGCACTGAGCCGTTATAAGGAACGCTGAGGTAGACCTCTGTTAAGTGTATCACCGTTCTCATCCTGGGATTTTCTTTTACTCGACCCTAGAGATGCAGCAGGTTCAGGGGAACATCCTTTCTCCCTGGGATGGGGGTGGGGACCTGTGCCCCTCAGGCAGCTTCCCTGGTGCCAGGACAGGCTTTGGGCGCTGGGGAGGGGCATCGTGGACCCCTGAGATCGCAGCCTTCCGCTCTTGTCCACCCCAGCCCCAAACAAGTGTGAGCTGAACTGCATTCCCAAGGGGGAGAACTTCTACTACAAGCACAGGGAGGCCGTGGTCGACGGGACGCCCTGTGAGCCCGGCAGGCGGGACGTCTGTGTGGATGGCAGGTGCCGGGTGAGTGTGTCCAGCACCGCCCCCCTCCTGCTGGCTGGGGACTTAGTGCAGGTGTCTCCCTGCCCAGCACTGGTAGGGCCAGGTGGCTGTCATGAGCTCGAAGTCTTCTCAAGTTGCCAGGACACCAAGCCTGGCTCCTCAGGCACCTTGTAGCCATCTCAGGTGCCCTGTGACGCCCTTGCCTTTGTCCTTTGAGAGCGCTAGCCTCACAGCAGGAGAAGCCCTCTGGGTGGCATGTTACAGAAACCCAGCTAAAACTGACTTCCGAAAAAACAGCGTTGAGGGAGGCTGTAGGCACTGAGACATGGTGCTAGAAAGTCTTTCCCCTGTGTCCGCACCAGGGTCACAGGCTCCTCCTGTGCGGTGCGAGGGCGGCTCCGGGCTTCTGCTGTGCCAGCCTGGCGACTCCCAGGGCCTCGTTCTCGGGAGTTCCAGCAACCCGGGGTTGCCTCTGACTTGGCTTGGAGCTCACCCTGAGCGTGCCTGAACTCACACGTGGAGAGCTCCATCCACGTTCTGTGGGGGAGAGGTGGCCCCCAGAGGAAAATGGGGTGTAGTTACCAGAGAAGGGGAGGCAGGAGCTGACCAGGCAGACAAGTGGGTCGTCAGTCACCGGCCAGATCCAAGGTCTACACAGCCACCCCCAGCTTGCAACTGACTGGGTGATGCCCGATCACCCCTGTCCTGCCTGGGCTGCGCAGGCGCTGGCGTTAGGACGGGCTGACGGGGGCCTCCATCCTGGTCTGCCCGTGACATCTTCTCCCGTGACTCCCGGCAGGTTGTCGGCTGTGACTACCAGCTAGACTCATCCAAGCAGGAGGACAAGTGTCTGCAGTGTGGGGGTGACGGCATGACCTGCTTCCCCGTCACAGGCACCTTTGATGCCAATGACCTCAGCAGAGGTGGGAGTCCCCGTGAGGACAGTTCACACGAGGGTCCGTCGCCTGCCCCTTCCTTGCCTGTCTCCCCCGCTGGCCGAGGCTCCAGGCCAAGTGGCCTCATGGCACCCAGAGGGTCTGGCTGCCTCAGGTCCTGTATAAAAGCCCCCTGTGGCCTCAGGGTGGAGGCCACGCTCTTCAGTTAGGACCATTGCCCAATAGTCCGGTCTAACCTCACTCTGCCGCCACCTGATGCCCCTCCTGTCCCTTCCCTCTCAGTCTGCTCTACATGCCTGAGCCTTCCCGCCCCTCTGGCCTTCATAAAGCTGTTCCCTCTGCCAGGAACGCTGTTCCCCGAGCCCGGGGCCTGCCTGTCTCCTGCTTGCCCTCCCTGGCCCCAAGCTGTGCTGCCCGCCCTGGCACCCACAGGGGCAGCACCTTCCTGCGGTTCACACGGCGCTGGGGGAGGGATAGCTCAGCAGCCCGCATACCCGTGTCTCTGCCCCGTCAGGCTACAACCAGATCCTCATTGTTCCCGTGGGGGCCACCAGCATCCGCATCGAGGAGGCTGCTGCCAGCAGGAATTTCCTGGGTGAGAGCCATGGGCTGGGTCCTGGCGGGTTTGGGGCTGTGGGGGAGGCATGCACCCACCCTCCCAGCTGACTAGGACCGTCTAACCTGCATGCAGCGGTAAAGAACATTCGAGGGGAATACTACCTCAACGGGCACTGGACCATCGAGGCAGCTGGGGCCCTGCCAGCGGCCAGCACCATCCTGCAGTACGAGCGGGGCACTGAGGGGGACCTGGCCCCTGAGCGGCTGCATGCCCGGGGCCCCACGTCGGAGCCCCTGGTCATCGAGGTGAGCTGGGCTGTGGGGAGAGAGAGCCAGTGGGTGGTCCCAGGAGCCGCCAGGCCCTGCACACAGGCCGAGGCCAGGCAGGGGGTTTGGGGGGGTACCCCCAGCAGCAGACCTCCACGAGGACCCTCCGTGGCAGCTGCTCAGCCAGGAGCCCAACCCCGGCGTGCACTACGAGTACTACCTGCCCCTGCGCACCCCTGGTCCCGGCCCCCGCTGGAGCCACGGCTCCTGGAGCGACTGCAGTGCCCCGTGTGGCGGAGGTGAGGGTGCAGACAGCTCAGGTCGGGGGGAGCGGGCCCCACGTGCCAGGTGCCACGGTCAAAGCGGAGCAGGTCACAGCCCTTATTCAAGCAGTCCTCGGGGGAGACGGACAAGTAGGTGAGAAATCTCCATGTCATGGGGTCACCTGGGGGAAGACGCAGGGGTCTAGGAGCTCCACCAAGGACCCCGGCCTAAGCTAGGAGAACCAGAGAGGCTTCCCAGAGGCAGTGGCATCTCACAGGCGACAGTACCCCACTGGGAGCGCAGGCCAGGCCTGGAGCTGGGGACCAGGTGTCAGCAAGGCTCCGTCACTCACAGCTAAAACTCTTTGAGCCTCAGTTTCCTCATCTGCAAATTGGGGATGATGATGGCACCTGCCTCGGGGTCATTTGAGACTTAATCGAGATGACCTGTGGGACGTGTTCAGAATGGCACCTGGCCCAGAGAACGCATTTGGCGTTCGGTGAATGCGGCCTCTGCGCAGGTCACCAGTCCCGCCTGGTGTTCTGCGCCGTCGACAACGAGGCCTACCCCGACCACATGTGCCAGCGCGAGCCGCGGCCGGCTGACCGCCGTTCCTGCAACCTTCACCCGTGTCCGCAGACCAAGCGGTGAGGCCTCACCAGCCCCCGCACCCTGGGAGGCCGGGGAACGTGGGTGGGAAGGGAAGAACAAAGAAGGCGGGTGGCCCAGGGCTCCCCACAGCTGTGGCCGGGGTTGGGGGTGGCAGCTGTCACTGGGGGAGGCAGTGAAGGGCCTGAGCATGAAGCCTAGGGCTGTTCTCTCCATGTGCCCATGAAGTACTCAGAACGGCCAGGCTGGTGGCAGGAGGGTCAGGGAAGGTACCGGAGGTCCCTGTCTGTCCAGTCAGCAGGAGGCTTGGCTGGGCAGGTGCCGAGGGGTGGGCCAGTCTCGGGCCAAAGGGCCTGTTGGCATTGGCAACGCCTTTGTTCGTGCACAAAGGACCTCTTACCTACACCGGCCCGGAGCGTGGCACCTTGCTGGGGCCCGGCGTGTGTGTGGGACCAGGTAATCTGCCGGCCATGGGCTCCCCTCGGGGCTGGCGCGGTTCCGCCCCCACTGGGCCTCGGTGGCAGCTGGCCTCACGGGATGGTGGCGGGCTTGGCTTTGCACGGCGTGGCGGGGACTGCCCTTTCCTCCGGGGCCTTGCACATGGCGCTGGGCAGGGCTGCTCCACGCACGGGTGAGCACAGCCCCTCAGGAGACGCCCCGGCTAAGGCCAGACCCAGAGGGAATGGGGTCCGACTGGGGAGATGGGCTGTGGAGAGAAGAGGGAGTCCTCGGGCGGGGACAGCACAGTGGGGAGCAGCTGGGCACAGCGGAGAGGACGCCGGGGAGGGCCTGGGCCTTTGTGCGGGCCCTGTGTTCAGGGAACAGGCCGGGCAGGGGCCCCAGGCCACTCCTGTGTGGGGGCTGTTGCCCCTCGGGGCTGGGCTTTGGCTCTGGCTCCTCCTGGGCCGGCCTCACCCGATCCCCACTCCTGCCAGCTGGAGGACGGGGCCGTGGACACCCTGCTCGGCCTCCTGTGGGGGCGGCTCCCAGTCCCGCTCCGTCTACTGCGTCTCGTCCGATGGGGAGAGCGTCCAGGAGGCCGTGGAGGAGGCCAAGTGTGCTGGCCTCTCCGGGAAGCCCCCTGCCACGCGTGCTTGCAACCTGCAGCGCTGTGCGGCCTGGAGCCCAGAGCCCTGGGGAGAGGTGAGGCTGCTGGCCTGGATGGGCTGGGGGTTTGTCCTCTGCTGTGGAAACTGAGATCTTGGGGGGCCAAGTGACCTACCAGGTCATCTTGGAAGCTGTGGCCAAGGCTGGGACCAGAAGCAGGTACCTGCACCCTGGTCTCGGGCACTTTCCTCCTCCAGGATCCCAGGGCAGGATGGGAAGAAGCTGGGTGTGTTGTCTGGGGCTGTTAGTTGGTGCAGTTGGTGCAGCTACGTATGTTCAAGCTACAAAGGAGGGGACGTGGAGGACGCACCTCTGCCTATCGTCAGCAGCTGTGGTTCAGGCTGTGTGACCTCAGGGGAGTGACTCAGCCTCTCTGGGCCTGGGAGGAGATCTTGGGCAGTACGGTGCTGTCCACCTCCATGCAGGGGCTCCTTTGGGTGGAGGCGAGCTCTTGCTGACAGCCCGGTCCTTGCAGTGTTCTGTCAGCTGTGGTGCTGGCGTCCGAAGGCGGAGTGTCACTTGCCGAGGTGATGAGGGGTCTCCGCTCCATGCCACGGCGTGCCCCTTGGAGGACCAGCCCCCCCTCACTGAGCCCTGCGTGCGTGAGGACTGTTCCCTCCTCGCTGGCCAGGCCTGGCTTGTCGGCGCCTGGGGTCTGGTGAGTGCCCCCGGGCCTGCTGCCCAGCGCTGGGTCCTTGGGTCTCACACGCGCCCGCCCTTGGATCTGGTACGCATCACTGGGCACCTTCCCCTTCCTCTCTCCATGTGGGCGCCCCCAAGCCCAGCCTCAGGGTCTCTCTCTCCCACTTTCGGGCCTCAGTGCTCCAAGAGCTGCAGCTCGGGCACTCGGAGGAGACAGGTCGTCTGTGCCATCGGGCCACCCAGCCGCTGTGGGAGCCTGCAGCGCTCGAAGCCCGCGGAGGTGGAGCCCTGCAACACGCAGCCCTGCCACCTGCCCCAGGGTAAGCACAGGAGGGGCAGGGAGGAGCCTGGGCCCACCTCTCCCCCACTCGCTGCCAGCCTAGTGAGTGCTCCCTGCCGCGGGGCCCATGCCTGCGCCCGGCCAGCTGCCGGGACCAACGCTCCCCTCATCTCCGCCCACGGACGCCTTCGCCAGCCGGAAAGTCCAGCTTGTGTGCAACCTCGTGAGCCAGCCCCGTTTCTTCCACTCAGAAGTAGCATCTTCCCCATGGCCCCACCCCTCACAGCGTGTTGTCATTTCTGTGTCACTTGGATTGTATACAGCTAGTTAGACCTACTAGCTAGGCACTTGAGGGCTGGGTCCCTGCCGTCCTTATCCTTCCTTATACTCCCTGCAGAACTTACCTTGCAAGGGTAGGTGCTCGGGAAATGTTTGTTGAGTGACTGAGTGACTGTGTGCAGAGGGAGAGAGGTGGTCCAGGAAGGATTGTGCTCACACACTGCTTCTGCCTCGGTCTCCCCCTCCCCTCATCCCCATCCTCCTGGGAAAGGAGGACTCCCAGGCATGAGGACCTGCAGGAGAATGGGCAGGGAGGCTGCTTTGCTTGGTGTGAGCATGGGACGTTGAGGAAGGGCGCAGGTTGTGCTGAGCTGGGGGTGCCGCAGGGCTGGCCTTCTGAGCCTGCAGAGAGGCGTGTCTTGCCTTGATGTGCTAGTGAGGGGGGCGGACTCTGTGAGCTGCAGGGACCCCGAGGTGAGGAAGGGCAGGATTCCAATGGGGAATTGGGCAGCAAAGAACCAGGGCCTTGGAGTCAGCAGCAGACTGGGTTCAAATGCACTCCACTGCTGACCAGTTGTGTGGCCCTGGGTGGGTGCCTCAGTTTGTACAATGAGTTTTTAATAAAAAAGAGTGACTTTCAGCTGGGCGCGGTGGCACACGCCTATAGTCCCAGCTACTCGGGAGGCTGAGTCAGGAGGAGCGCTTGAGCCCAGGAGTTTGAGGTTGCTGTGAGCTAGGATTGAGCCACTGAAGTCTAGCCAGGGCAAGAGAGCAAGACTCTATCAAAAAAAAAAAAGTTACTTTCTAGGCATGCGGAGTAAAGTGACTCTGAGCACATGGAGTGTGCAGGGAACACACAAGGTGGACAGTAGTTGTAGCGAGGCTGTGCGGGGAAGCTCAGCCCTGTGCCCGCCCAGTGGCTCCCTGGCGGCTGCCTTGGCCGGGCCTCACGCTCACCACCGGCAGGGCGACCCCTGGACTCTGGGGTCCGGCTCTGGGCAGAGCCACTCTGTTCTCCTGGGCCCTGGCTGCCTGCCTGGAAGGTGGTCCTGAGCCTGCCCCAGGGACAGGTAGGATTCACACAGAAAGGAGGGAAAAGAAAAGAGTTTTGGGCCAGGCTGAGTTGTAAGAGCAAAAACTTTTATCACTATTCTTTTTCTGGTCAGCAAAACATATACTTTTCTAACATATCTCTTTTCTCCTTTTTAATCCGTATGTGATAAATTGTGCATGTTTATGGGGGTATATGTGATATTTGATGCACAGATAGAACGTGTAATGATCACATCGGGGTAAAATTTAGGATATCACCAGACATTTATCATTTCTCTTGTGTTGGGATTATTTCAACTCCTCAAGCTATTTTGAAATATACAAAATATTGTTAACTGTGGTCGCCCTACTATGCTGTCAAACACGAGAACTCATTCCTGTCTAACTACATGTTTGTACCCATTAACCAACCTCTCTTCATCTTCCCCCGACCCCCGGCCAGGCTCGGGTAACCACTGTTCCCCTCTCTACCCCCGAGGTCCACTTTTCTACCTCCCACACGTGGGCGGTGAGTGAGAACATGCAGTCTGTCTTTCTGTGCCTGGCTTATCTTACTTAACATAATGACCTCCAGTTGCATCTGTGCTGCTGCACATGGCGGGAGTTCGTTCTTTTTGACGGCTGAATAGTATTCCGTTGTGAACACACACCACGTTTTCCTTATGCATCTGTCCACTGATGGACACTCACGTTGGTTCCATGCCTTGGCTGTCGCGCGTAGCGCTGCAGTAAACGCGCAGGTTTCCCTTTGATGGACTGATTTCTTTTCCTTTGGGTGACTGTCCAGTAGTGGGATTGCTGGATACGTGGTAGGTCTGTCTGTAGTTTTTTTGAGAAACCTCCATGCTGTTTTCCATGACTCTACTAATTTACTTCCCATGAACGTGTATGAGAGTTCCCTTTTCTTCTGTATCCTTGCCGGCATTCGTTACTGTTTGTCTTTTTGATAATAGCCATTCTAACTGGGGTAAGATGGTATCTCATTGTGGTTTTGATTTGCATTTCCCTGATGATGAGTGAAGTTGAGCATTTTTTCATATACCTGTTGGCCATTTGTATGTTTTTTGAGAAACGACTATTCATGTCCTTTGCCTACTTTTTTTTTTTTTTTTTTTAAGAGACAGTGTAGAGACAGGGTCTGGCTCTGTTGCCTAGGCTGGAGTGCAGTGGTGTGATCATGGCTCCCTGAAACTTTGAACTCCTGGGCTCAAGGGATCCTCCCCTTCTCAGCCTCCCGAGTAGCTGGGAATACAGGCATGCGCCATCACACCTGGCTAATTTTAAATTTTTTTTTGTAGAGACGGGGTCTCGCTTTGTTGTCCAGTCTGTTTGCAAACTCCTGGTCTCAGGCAATCCTCTCGCCTTGGCTTCCCAACATGCTAGGATGATGGGAATGAACCACTGTGCCTGGCCCTTTGCCCACTCTTTAATGGGATTATTTGTATTTTTGCTGTTGTTTGAGTTCTTTGCATATCCCAGATATTAGTTTTTGTTTCTAATTTTATTGGGTCTTTTCTCTTTTTTTTCTTGGTCTGTTTATCAATATTTAAAAAATCTTTTCCATAAACCAACCAGGGCAGGCCTGTCCTCAGGCCCCTTAATGGTACGTGGGTGACAGTGGTCCCTGGATGGTGGCAGCGGCTGCTGTTCTTGTAATTATAAACGTAATGTACGCTCGTTGTGGAAAATTTGGAGAAATTAGAAGTAGTATATAGAGAAAAATTAAAATTGCCCTTAATCTCATCCATGTATGAGATTAATCTTTAGTGTATTTCCCTGTAACATGCACGTAACTGTATTTGTTTCCTCCCCTTAACGCTATTCCATGTGAGCATCGTCCCATCTCATTTCTAGGAGTTCCACCACGGTCCAAGATGGGCGATAATGTAGAACATAGGTGGTTTTTGGTGTTTTGGGTACTGTCACTAATGCTGAAGTGCGTACCGGCGTATGTCCAGGGGGAAGGCAGTGGTTGGTGGGGCAGGGGTCTGTTGAAGAGGCCAGCTGGGGGCTCAGCGGCTGAGTGACACCCCACTGTGTTGTCTTCTCCCTCCATCTTCTAGACTCCGGAGCAGTGCTCTCCCATACAAGTAGGATTCAAGTCATGCCTGTCACTTCAAATTTTTTAGAGCCACATTTAAAAAGTAAAAAGAAACAGGTGAATTTATATTTAAGAATATAGGCTGGTGCAGCGGCTCATGCCAGTAATCCTAGCACTTTAGGAGGTCAAGGCAGGAGGATCGCTTGAGCCCAGGAGTTTGAGACCAGCCTGGGCAATGTAGCGAGACCCCCATCTCTACAAAAAAATAAAAATAAAAATTAGCCAGGCATGGTGGTGGCGTGCCTATAGTCCCAGCTACTCAGGAGGCTGAGGTGGGAGGATCCCTTCAGCCCAGGAGGCTGCAGTGAGCTATGATCACACCACTACACTCCAGCTGGACTGCACAGTGAGACCCTGTCTCTCCCTCCCCACAAAAAGAAGATATTTAATCCAATATAAATATCTTCATGTAATCAGCATAAAAATTGATGAGGTAGTTTATGTTCTCTTACAAGATTTTTAGAAATGAAATCTTTGAAATCCGAAGCATAGTTTACACTTACAGCACATCTGATTTCAGATTCTAAATTTGCACTGGAATACTTGCTCTGTTTAGATTTCATAAAATTTACAATAGAAAAAGTAGATTTGCGTACCCAAGTTGTTCCAAACGTACTTGAACGTTTTCCAATAAATGAATCAAGTATCAGTTTCAAAATTTAAGAGTCTCATGCTCTACTGACTGAGCTAGCCGGGAGACCTTAGTTTCAAAATTTAAAGTTATTTACAATTAATTAAAATGTAAAACTCAGTTGCTCAGCGCTCCAGCCGCACTCAGTGCCCCTGAGACCAGTAAGGGCCCCCCAGGACTGCCCTCAGCCCAGGGTGTAGGCAGTGGTGCCAAGAGGGAGGCCCATTCCGGGTGATGCTCTTAGGCCTGGGGCGGAGGCTGGAGGGCTTCAGACTAAATTTATCCAGTAGGCCCAGGCGAGCCATTGACAGTTTTGGAGCTAGAGTGACACCATGAAAGCTATTTAGGAGGACACGCTTGGCCCATGCCTGAAGGTCAGACTGAAGTGAAGGCAGGAGCCTGGGGGAGCAGATTGCGGGACTCCAGGCCTAGCGAGGGGGAAACAAAGGGGCCCGGTATGAGGGTGTGTGGGGAGGGGTCCTGGACTCCCCACGAAACCTGAGTAAACGGAGGAGCAGAGTCACACGAGGTGGGGGAGCCAGATGGCAGGACAGGCTCGGCAGAGGTGCTTTCTGCTCGAGGTGATAGGGACAGCAGTCAGAAATTGCCAGGCTGGGGACTGAACGCAGGGCCGGGAGAACGTGGGCTTGTCTGCGGGAGATGACAGATCTGGGAAGAGTCCGAATCGTTCCCGTTCCAGGTTTTGGCCCCTGTTAAGAAATAAAATGAAGATGTCACCACATATCTTTTGGAGTCTTCAGCCCTTAATTACTATTTTTAATATTCCTGATGACTGGCAAGATGCAGTCCACGTGGGAATGGAATAGTCACTTATTATATTCTTTAGAACTTTTATGAATCAAGTATCATCATAGTAACACGCTTATTGTGGAAAATTTGAAAGACGTTAACAAATAGAGGGATATAGTGCTTCCCCTGAAGCACTCAAACTTTTACTATGAGCATTTTAGGGCGTGTCCTGCAAGTTCTCTTATGTATCATTTTTTTAAAAAATCCTGTTCTAATTTTTTCTATTCAGCCTTCTATATTTTTTTTTAAATTGGCAACGAGACAGGGTCTTGCTCTGTCACCCAGGCTGGAGTGCGGTGGCGTCATCATAGCTCACTGCAGCCTCCAACTCCTGGGCTCAAGGGATCCTCCTGCCTCAGCCTCCTGAGTAGCTGGGACTACAGGTGTGGGCCACTACGCCTGGCTAATTTATATTTTGTGGAGATAGGGTCTCACTATGTTGCCCAGGCTGGTCTCAAATTCCTGGGCTCAAGCAATTCTCCCAAAGTGCTGGGATTACAGGTGTGAGCCACTGCACCCAGCCTTATTTCATTCTTTTTGATTACAGACATCCTAGTGGGTGTGAAGTGGTATCTCATTATGGTTTTATTTCCCTAATGACTAATGATGTTGAAAATCTTTTCATATGCTTTTTGGCCATTTGTATATCTTCTTTGGAGAAATATTTAAGTTCTTTGCCCACTTTTTAATTGGATTGTTTCTTTTCATCAATCCAATAAGAAATGTATATCCATTTTTTGTTTTGTGTGTCCGGGATCATAACATAGATGCTAATTCTATACGTGGTACTTCTTTTTGCTGAACGTGTAACCTTAGCATTTTCTACGTGACTATACGACTCTTTTGAAATGTGGCTGGGCGTTCATGAAATCACAGGCCTGCTCCTTTTCCCTGGTGCTGATCCGGGTTTGGGGGTCCTGCCGGAGCAGTGGGGTGGGAGCACCTGGGCAGGGCTGGCCACCACTCAGGCCCATGCTCTCTCCTTCCCTCCGTGTCCCCATGGGCTGCCGGCTCCCTGCAGAGGTCCCCAGCACACAGGACGTGCACACCCCACTTGGCCATCCCTGGACACCTGTGAGCCCTCGGGAGCCCCCTGCCTCAGGTGAGCAGCTTGGTCGCAGCCCCCATCCAGGGCCCCGGCGTCTTTGTGTCTGGGTGGTGCCTGGAGGTGGAGGTCCAGGGCGGGTGCAATGATGGCCGAGGGGAGAGCGGTCTGGGGAGATGGACGTGGTGCGACGTGGACACAGATGGAGGGTGAGGAGCGGGCTGGACGCATCATGTGTCTTTTGCTGCTGCTTCTTTCTAGACTCCAGAGGCCAGTGGGGGGCAGCCCAGGAGCACCCCTCAGCCCGGGGTGACCCCAGGGGAGATCGGGGTTCTCCCCTGTCGGCCCTGGGCCCAGCCCCAGCTCTGCAGCAGTCCCTGCTCCGACAGCCCCCCCAGTCTGGCTCGGGGCTCCGTGACTGCAGACACAGCCCCCACGGGTGCTGCCCTGACGGCCACACGGCGTCTCTTGGGCCACAGTGGCAAGGCTGTCCTGCGGCCTCGTGTCAGCAGAGCAGGTGGGTGCTGGAGGCAGCTCTTCCTCCTCCCCAGGGTAAAAAGGGCAGGCGGGGCCGGGCGATGGGCTCGGGAAGGGGTAGGGTGGGTCACGGTGCTCAGGACAAGGATTCCTGGGTGTGTCTCTGGGCTGCCCTGACCGTGAGCTCCGCGACTTGGCTTCCTCTCGCTGAGCTTCGTGATGTGCCCAGTGGAGACAGCCCCTGCCTTCTCTGCAGAAGTCAGCCCGTCGATTCTAGCTCTCTGATCTAACCCAGGCTCGGGGAACCCAGTGTGAATGCTGGACAGAGGCTGACCAGTCCCTAACAATCTTCCTAACAGTCCCACCCAGTCGAGCCTTGCACAGAGGGCCTGAGCCATCCCACCCCCGCCACATGCCCTCCCTGCGGCTCCCCTCCTTCCATGGCCTGCCCTAGACGCCTCTCTGGCATGTGCCCTCAGGGACTAGGGTGCTGAGGGCCTAGGCCTGAGGCCAGCAGCCTCGGGGGAGGATTCCCAGCTCAGCCACTTACCAGCTATGTGCTGGGTGACTTGGGGCAAGTTACTTAACCTCTCTGATTTTCCTCTTCTGAAAATGGGGAACATTGAAAACCACTGGATGGCGTTATTGTGAGGATGAGATCACAGAGTGCCTGGCACGTAGGAGGTGCTTTGATACAATCCTTTCATCTGGCTCCCAGCACCAGATGGATGTGAAATAGATGAGCTCTTTGAACCCTCTTTTCTCCCGTCTTCCATCTGTGCTATGTTGTAAAAACTCCCTGGGAAGCTGGTATCTGGGCAGGCTCGGATGAGCTTCCCTCTTGGTGTGTGGTGGGACGTGCGAGTCGAGGACCTGTCGACTGTGGGGCACAGCTGCTGCTCATCGTGCCCCTCTCGCTCTCCCTGGTGGCTGCTACGTGTTGGTGGATGTGGGCAGAGACTGGGGCACACAGAGTGATGTGCCCTGCATGCAGGGTCACGTCCTCGCCCACCCGGGTCTCCACCCGATCAGCCCCCAGTGCAGGGAGCCCCAGAACTTGGGTCCTGGGGTGCTGGAAGCTCAGACACAAGGGTCCCTGGAGGGGTGGGGGCTGGGGCCAGGCGGTGAGGAAGGCCGTGTGGTGTCTGCCTAGGTACGGCTGCTGCCCGGACGGGGTGTCTGTCGCTGAGGGGCCCCACCATGCTGGCTGCACAAGGTCTTACGGCGGAGGCGGTGACAATGTGGGGAGCAGGCCAGGGTCGAGGGCAGTGGCTTCCGCCGTGAGTACCTGGCTTGTGTGAGGGGGACAGGATTCCAGCCCTGGCCTGCTCAGTGTCACTGTGACCCCCAGATCTCTGCAGCTTTAGCCTCGGAGGAAGCAGGTCCTTGCCGGCCTGGGTCATCCTCTTGAGGGCTCTGGGCTTCAAAGATGGGCCTGGGCTGGAGCTGGGGGTTGGTCCAGCATTCTCCTGGCCTTTGCTCTCCCCTGGGCTGGGGTCATGCACCTTGGCCTTGCAGTTCTGCCCCTTCCCTCTTCCTGCCATGCTTCCCCAGGCAGCCCAAAGTCCCCACCAAGAGCCAGACCCAGACCCAGCTTCCCAATCCTGGCACCCCCCTCCCTCCAGGTCCCCAGCACACACCGGCCCCAGGCCCAGCAGAGCGAGCCCAGTGAGTGCCGGGGCTCCCGGTTCGGCTGTTGCTATGACCATGTGGCCTCCGCGGCAGGGCCCCTGGGGGAAGGCTGCCTGGGCCGGCCCGGCTCTGGTGAGTACGAGCCCCAGTCAGGCCGAGAGTGGTGCCTGGTGGTTCTCACACCCAGCAGTTTGCACCTGCTGCTGCGGGAGTTGGGGACAGTTGCAGGAAGGGGGAGGCTGAGGAGGAGGAAGGCCTGTCCTCTCTCTTCCTGAGGCAGAGCCCGTGCAGGGTGGTCAGTGCCCGGATGGACAGGGCTGTGGGGATCCCGACCCTAGGATGTGGGTGGGGCAGCAGGGACCATCACGGGGACCTCACAAGCCAGGCTGGGCTGGCGGTCAGGGCTCTGCAGGAGGCTGGGCACCTGGACGGTGCCCAGCTGTGGTCCCGCCTGAGCGTGGAGAGATGGAGCAGGACATACTGGCGGGGAGGGTGGGAGGTGTTGGGTTTAGAGGCATCTTCACAGGCCCAGGCAGCTCAGGGTTGGGCCCTCTCTCGGGGCTGCACAGGTGGGGTCAGGCTCTGGGCTCCACAATGTGCTCCAGGGGTCCCACGGCAGGGAGGGGCAGGGGTCGAGGGAGCCCTGATCCCCCCCGACCCCAGCCCTGACGGCTGTAGTTCTGTGGGTGGAGGCTGCTGTGGCCCCAGCCTGGGCAGGGGCCAGAATCCAGTGGAAGGGTCCTGTGCCCCAGGGCCAGGTGAGGGGCCGGGCAGTGGGCAGACATGCTCTGTAAACGGGGAAGGGCCCGGCTCCTGAGGCTGAGGCGGTGTTGGGTGCAGCTTTGTCATGGGCACCTCGGTGACGTGTATCCCACCCCTGCCCCTAGCCTACCCTGTGCGGTGCCTGCTGCCCAGCGCCCACGGCCCCTGCGCAGACTGGGCCGCCCGCTGGTACTTCGTTGCCTCTGTGGGCCGGTGTAACCGCTTCTGGTACGGCGGCTGCCACGGCAACGCCAACAACTTTGCCTCGGAGCAGGAGTGCATGAGCAGCTGCCGTCCGGAGCCTGGGGCCTCTGGCCAGAGCCCCGGTGCAGATGGTGGTGGCAGCAGTCCTGGTGGCCAGCAGGAGCTCAGCCGGCACAGGACGGGGCCCACAGTCCAGAGAAAGCCCTTGCCTTCTGGTAGCCCCTGGTGGCGAGACCAAGAGCCTGGGCCAAGGACAGCCCCCCACCCCCCCGCCTTTGGAGAACAGCTGTGGGGCCAGGACGGGGATGCTGGACCGCCAGCGCCCCCCTCGCACGGCTCCTCCTACAGGTGAGGCCCGCCATCCCCAGGTAGAGGGGATAGGATGCCAGGCCAGGAGTGAGCCTATTGGAGCCAAAACCCTGAAGTCGCCAGCCCCACCTCTCCCCCTTAACTTCTGCTCCCAGACAGCCCTGCCTGGGCCTTGCGACCTGCGTTGTCCAGACGGGGAAGCTGAGGCTTCAGACGTAGGGCTTGTCTGGGGTCTAATAGACATCTGTAGACGGTGGCTCCCGGCCTCTCCGTCAGATCTTGCCAGTATACCCCGGGGCCCGTCTAGCTGGAAAAGCTTACCAGCTTCTCCAAGCCTTGGTTTCTTGACCTGTCGGTGGTGACATCATCTGCCGCCCTGTATATCTCGCAGGTTTGGGGCAGGTTCCATTTGTTATTACTCTCGGGGCTGGGTCCTATTAATGAGGGATTTAGGATTAACGACAAAATTAAAAGCTTTAAGTTCCCCAGGGGTCTAGCGTGTAGTTTAGTCCCTGCGTCCCCGCAGGAATCTGGCACGTGCTGTCCCTGCCCCGCTCCTCCTCCTGCCCGCTGGGCTTGGCGCCGGTGCCGACGCGACCTTGTTGATCTCGCGATAGCAGCTCGATGTGGCGATGCCTGGGGTGTGGCGGGCGGATTCCCGAGTCCGAGGCTGCCGGAGCTTGGCCTTCCTTGCAACCCTCTGACTCTGAGAATGCCTGTGACAGGATGGGCACCAAGCCATCTGTCATGGGACACGCTACTCGGGGGTGGTCCTGGTCCTGGCACTCATGCCAACAGGCAGCTCTTTACCTCCCACCTCTCCAGGGTTAGCTTGGCAAGCTCGGAGCCCACCCTGGTGCAGGCGGCCCTGGGGCAGTTAGTGCGGCTTCTCTGTCCAGAGGACACCTTCCCAGAACCCCAGGCTGGGTGGCAGAAAGATGACCAGCCCATCTCCTCCGACAGGTGTGTGTGACAGCCTCCCCCCTCCTCCCTCCTCCTCCTGCTCTGACAGGTGCGTGTGACAGCCCTCCTCCCGTCTGACAGGTGTGTGTGTGTGATAGCCCTTCCTTGCAGCAGCCCCCCTGACCTCCCCTGGGACGAGAGGTGGGTGGGCACAGGAATGCTCTGGGCACACTATGGCTCCCTCTGACAGGAGCACTGGGGCCTGAGGGAAGACCATTGTTGCCCTCAGAAGTCCAGGGCCCGCGTCTCCCCCCAACCCCATTCAGGCACGAGCTGCAGTCCGATGGCTCTCTGGTCATCAACCCGCTGCGGGCAGAGGATGCGGGCACCTACAGCTGTGGCAGCACCAGGCCAGGCCGTGACTCCCAGAAGATCCAACTTCGCGTCCTAGGTCTCTGTCCCCACCCCATCCCCTGCTGGGTTCTCACAGGCCCCAGAGTAGAAGGGACAGGACAGGGGGCCTGCGGCCGGGCTGCCCCACACCGGGTGCTTCTTTGGGTCAATTTCCCCTGGAGGCAGGGGCCGCCCGGTGGCCCTCATTTGTCCACACATCTCCCGCTGGCCTTGCCTCATGGCCCAGCCTTCCCTCCACTCCCTTCTCCCCAGAGCTCACACCTTGCTTCTCCCGGCCTCACCGCAGGGGGCGACATGGATGTGCTGTCTGAGGCTGAGCCGAGGCACTTACCTCACACCAGGGACCCAGCCCAGGGCCACAGTCCTCAGGACTCAGGTGCAGGGAGGGATGCTGGGCGCCTGGGGGCTGTCCCCTCCTCACACCCGCGGCCCACAACCAGGTAACAGTCAGCAATGCCATCCTGCTCCCGGCTGCCCCCTCCTGAGGGCCAGGGTAGATGGGATCAGTGGGTGAGAGGAGGGGAAGGCGTGTGCTGTGAGCAGGCCTTGCTGGCCCCTGCGCGGGGTCTCCTGGGGGAGCAGCTGGGAACGGTGCAGCTCCACGCGGCCCGGGACTTGGGACTTGGGACTCAGAACCGAGGGAAGGGAGAGTGCCAGAGCTAGAGGGCAGGAGATGGCTTCTTGGAGGAGGGTGTGGAGCTGGCCTTGAGGGATGGTTCCATTTACAGGGTGGGGTGCCCAGGTCAAGGAGCTAGAGGCAAATGTGCAGTGTGGGGAAGCGACACGTGGAGATGCTGGGTGGTGGGTGTGTCTGGCCAGCCACCCGTGTGTGGAGGGAGCGTTAGGCTTTACTCCAGGTAGTTACTGATGGGGTGGGCATGGGGGGGCAGCACAAGGGCCCCTCATGCTGGGGGCTGCTTGTTTGGCAGGCTGCGTTTGGACCAGAACCAGCCCGGGGTGGTGGACGCCAGTCCAGGCCAGCGGATCCGGCTGACCTGCCGTGCTGAAGGCTTCCCGCCCCCGGCCATCGAGTGGCAGAGAGATGGGCAGCCTGTCTCTTCTCCCAGGTTTATTCTGCTCCCCCTCCCCCCAGCCCCATCCCGTCCTGTGGAGGCCACCAGGGAAGGGCGCTGCTAGGCCATCGGCCCTAGCAGGACTCCAGGGCCTCTGGAGAGATGGAGCTGCCAGGCAAGGGCTCCTCGGACAGGTCCTGTCCAGAGCGTGGTTAGTGGACAGAAACAAGAGGCCGGCTAGAAGAGGTGACGGCTGGAGGAGGAAGAGGGGTCAGGAATATTTTGGGCTGTGATCACAGCCGCTCACATTCGCTGAGTGCATACTGAGCGTGAGGCTTGTTCTCTATCACATGATCTGCAAAAGAGCCCTACTGGGGTAGGTGCAATTCTTTCCCTTGTTTTACACACAGAAGCTTAATATCACAACCTGCTTATAAGTGGTAGAACCAGGCTTTGAGCCTACTAAATGAATATAGCAAAAACCAGAAACCAGAGAACCCGAAATGACTTTATTGTTAGGCCTAAAAGCCAGAGGTTGTCAAAGAAATTAAAGTGGCAGCAGCTGGACAGTGTAAGGGGCCTCTGGCCAGACCCACTGTACAGTAGGGGCTGCTCAGCCTCTCACAGGCCTGGAGGCCTTTCCTCTCCTCCCTGCCCCATGCCGGGAGGGGGGCTTGGTGGGGGGAAAGCTCTCCTTGGGCTGGAGCCAACTGACTGTGCTTGGTCCCCAGACACCAGCTGCAGCCTGATGGCTCTCTGGTCATCAGCCAAGTGGCTGTGGACGATGGCGGCTTCTATACCTGTGTCGCTTTCAATGGGCAGGACCGAGACCAGCGATGGGTCCAGCTCAGAGTTCTGGGTAAGGTAGCAGTCCCGAGTGGCCTTTGAGGTCAGGTAGCATGGGTGGGGCAGGATCTGTATAGCAGCTGACAGTGTCTTCTCCTTGTGCCCAGGGGAGCTGATGATCACAGGGATGCCCCCTGCCATGACGGTGCCGGAGGGGGACACTGCCAGGCTGCTGTGTGTGGTGGCAGGAGAAAGTGTGAACATCAGGTGGTCCAGGTAAAGGCTCTATTCCAGGCAATGCCTGCCCCCAGACCCTCAAAACTTGAGGTGTGGGTGTCCTTTCTGCCAAGGATGTCACTGTCACCGCTGCCCCCACCACCCTTCTTCCACTCCTGCCTCCAGGCCTGGTGCTAGGGGAGAGGGCTGCAGTACCCTCATCCCTACAGGAAGAAGCCCTGTGGGGCCACTTGCTTTCTGGTGGTTGGGCTTCAACAGGGTTTCCTAACCTCAGCACCACGGACATGTTGGACCGGGTGCGTTTTGGTTGTTGGAGGCTATGCTGTGCATTGCAGGATGTTTAGCGGCATCCGGGGCATCTACCCACTGGATGCCAGTAGTGCTACCCCCAAGTCGTGACTGTTAAGAACGTCTCCAGACATTGCCAAATCTCCCCTGTGGTTGAGAACCACTGGGCTAGTCCTCAGCTATGGGGACTTCGCTGGTCTTTTACCCCAGATCAGTTGGTCTTTTATTTGTCCATTCATTCAGCAGGCAATTTTTGCCCCCTCCCTCCCTAGAGTGCAGGAGACAGGCTAGGTTCTGGGTATCCGGGGGCCATCTGAGCCCTAGGGCACTCCCAGGTAGGAGATGGCCCAGTGTCCTAGGAGCTCCAGGTGCTGTCTGTGCAGAGGAGTGTGAGGCTGCTTCAGGTCCTGAGGGTCAAGGAAAGGTGGCCAAGGAGGTGACTTTGGGTCTTAATGGCTGAGGAGGGAGGGGGAGAAGGATGCTCTTGGTGGAGGAAGCAGCAATGCTGTGCCAAAGGCCGGCCCTCAGGAGAGAATGCCAGGATGGGAACCAGTCTGAGTGCCCAAGGGGAGGTGATGTGGCCGTGAGTCCGGGGAAGGAGGGCGAGTTGCTGGAGGTTTCCCAGCTGGAGTGCTCGGTCCAGCCCTCTCCTGGTCGGATCCCATCAAGCCCATTTCTCCACCTCGGCCTCCTCTGGATCTTCCCAGCAGCAAACATGCTCAGGACTCCCTTCTTCAAAACAACACAAAATAAAAGATGCCTTCCTTCAGGTCTGCATGTCCCTGTAGCCCCTGCGCTTATAATGTCTCCCTGTCACAGCGCGGCTGTCCATGTTGGCTGCCTCCAACCTGTTCACCTCCCCAGTCACTTCTCTGCCCTGCAGTGGGGCCTCACGTCAGCCCCTGCTCTAGGACACTGCCCCGGCCAAGGCCACTGATTGCCTCCCTGTTCCTAACTCCACTGGACACATCTCAGTCTTTATGTGACCTGTAGTGTTCTTCTGACCACTTGCTCCTTCTTGAAAGACGCCCCTCCCTTGGCTCCAGGAAGCCACTGTCTTCTGGTGTGCCTCAAGGTCTGTCCTCCGTTTTTGGTTTGTCCCACTCTGTGACTTCACCGTGGACAATGCTGTGGACATGCACCTTCCAGGACCATCCTGTGCTGATACAAAACCTGAGTCTGGACTCTCTTGAGCCCTAGATCTCAAATCTGGTACCTCCTGGTATCTCACAGGTACCCCAAGTTTGAAATGATGGAAAATAACTTCACCATTCACCCTGACTGCTGCCCTGGATCTCCCAAAGTTGGAGGGGCACCACCATCACCCAGCGACCCAAGCTACAAACCTTGGTCATTCTCGATTTCTTCCTTTCTTCCACCTCCACTGTCTGACCTTCACCCAAGTCCTTTTACTGCCTGTATCATCTTCCCTTTGTTTACCACGGCAGCAGCCACTTACCTGGTGGCTCTGCTTTCAGGCTTTGCCTCTCCCACCCAGCACTGCAGTCTGTGAGCCTTTCCAAGTGCCATGTCAGTCCCTGCTTAGCTCAGACGCCCCCACTACTCTCAGAAGCCAACCCAAACTCCTGACCAGGCCCCAGACCGTGCTGACTGGCTCTCCAGGCTCCCATGTCCACTTCTTCCCTTGCTTCCTTCTTGCTCTGGCTGTGTCCTTCCTCCATGTTCCCTCTCCCTCTCTCCATGGGCCAGCTGCTGCCGTGGCCGCCTCCAGTCAGGTCTCAGCCAGCTGTTCTCAGAGAAGGCTCCCCTAAATGCCTGCACCACCCCAGTGCCCTGGAGGCAGGGAGTGCTGTTCATCCAGCACAGGGCCTGGTACTGAATGGCTGCTAAAGACCTTTGTCAATGAAAAGCCAGAGTGGAATTCCTTTGTGTATAAGAGGCAAACTTACAATAACTTAGATCAGTGTGAGTTCACCTCACTTGTATTGTTTTGCTTTGATACCGTTCTCCTATCTTTTTGGTGCACCCGTCCCATCTCCTCGAGATGAGGGTCATCTGTTTGCCCTCAAGGGGGGTGGTTGACTCTGGAATGGACTTTGATTACCTCCTCACTGTCTCCCAGGCCTCCTGGGGCTTGAAGACGGGGCCCTGGATGGCTTTCCCAGTGTCCTCTCCCCTCAGGAACGGGCTGCCTGTGCAGGCTGACGGCCATCGTGTCCACCAGTCCCCAGATGGCACGCTGCTGATCCACAACTTGCGGGCCAGGGACGAGGGCTCCTACACATGCAGCGCCTACCGGGGGAGCCAGGCAGTGAGCCGGAGCACCGAGGTGAAGGTGGTCTCCCCTGGTAAGAAAGGCCTGTCTCCAGGGTGGGAAGGGCATCCCCCCGGGGCATTTGCCTGTTCTCAAGGGCCGGCTGTGTCTTGTGGGAGCGCAGGCCTGCAGTGCCAGGGACTCTAGTTCCCCGTGCCAGTTCCTGGTAGTGTCACTTGGGCAAGGGCTCAACTTTCCAGAGCCTTGCTTTCCTTGTCTGTGCAGTGGGACAACTCCTCCACCTGAGAGAGTTGTAGTGAGGATGAAGGAAATAAAGCTTCTGCTGGGCACCTGGTAAGAGCTTAGTAGATGTTCAGTATGGTATTGTCTTTAGACTTAACAATTTTGAGAACTGTGATTGACTGGAATTTCATTATAAAACTTAAGGCAGATAGACCGCTAACACCTGTCCCTTCTAATCAGGGCAGCAAAAAGTCCTATGACTGAAAAGTGCCTTTATGGCCACTTGGCCACATAACCCAGAAAGGAAAGGGCAGAGGTTATCAGTCACCATTTTACAACAAGACAGGTATCCAGAGAGCTTACGTGGCATTTCTACCAGTCACACAGCAAAGTAGTGGCCCAGCTGGGACTGGAACTCAGACCTTTTGACTCTGTATTTAGTATACGTATATATATATATATTTTTGCTAAACTATTTTACCTGTAACTGAGTAGAATTTTACCTGCTTTATTCAGTAATTTGATATTGTAGCCTTATATTCTATTCTCCAGCTCCTGCTTTCTGAGTTATATTTCAGCTAATCAAAACGCTATATTGTAAGATGCATTATTTTTGTACCAGGAAAAAGTTGCCAACTAGATGACACAATGCTAAGACACCATCAGTTAAGATGCAGACCAATCTGAGAGATGTGAAGATTAGTGCATCTCAGAACTGATGAAACAGACATGGTTTAATATTCAAACTCTCGAGAGCTCTCTGTTCAAATAAGCCAGAGGGAAAGGGGAGGGGCTCTGCCTGCGCCCAGCCTGCTCTGCCATGTGTCCTCAGCCCAGCCTGCTCTGCCATGTGTCCTCAGCCCAGCCTGCTCTGCCATGTGTCCTCAGTCCTGGTTCACTGAGGGACTGAATAGCAGGGCGATGCTCTGGGCTGCGCTGCCGGTTCTCACAGGCCTGATACAGAGCTGGGTAGAGTGCCCCAGGGCCCTTCCCGTCTGGTCTGCCTGGACCTTCACAATGGTCAGGGCTGCAGCACTGCCCCAGGAGCACTGTTAACACTCCAAGGGGCGGGCCTGGCTGCCTCCTGTCTGCTAGACTGAGGGCAGGGACTCAGCAGTGCTAGAGGCTGAAGGTCGAATGTTGGTCGAATGTTGCTTTGTGAGTGGGACTGACACGTAGGCCTCCTTTTGTGAGTCTCCAGGGCTCAGCCCAGTGCTTGGCATCATTGGGTGTCAGACACCTGGTGACGAAGTGCATGTCTGCATGAATGATGGTGTTACCTTGGCGAAAGCAACAAACTGCAGGGACCATTTTACCTCTAATATGTCCAGAGAAGTGATCTTCTTATATAATAACCAAACCAAGACTTGAGACAAACCAGAATGCAGACTTACTGTGAGAAAGCAAGCTCTTTAAGAGGATCTGGATATTCGTGTTTGTGATTAGCTGTAGAAGTACTCTATGGGAAACCAAATTATAATCAGAAACTTGCTTGATGCCGAAGGCTGGTGGGACTCTTGCAGATTGGTCACCAAGCTTAAGTGGTCTCATGAGACTTGCATCCCAGATGGGACACTCATCAGTCAGGCCACCCTCCTGCCCTGTTGTATGAGTGTTGCCAATTTTAGATATTTTGGGGGCACCTTTTCTGACTAGCTGTTCCCCTTCTCTCTTTATCTGTATTCGTCCTACTGACTAGGCTGCAGATTTCTGCTCTCACCTATTTGTTTTTCACAGGGTCACACAGCGTCAGGCTGCCTCTACTTTGCCCTGCCCGTGGCTTGGTGGTATATTAGAATTAAAGTGTTACCATCAGGGTGGGGGACATAGTCTTCCTGCGAAGACTTCTCAATCCTTTTGTCTATAAGACTGGGGTGAGGAACAGAAAATACCGTAGGGATCAAACATAGGCTGCCATGCACTGCAGCCTAGCCTCATTTCTCAAATAACAGGGAACTATGCTATGGGGTAACAGCACAGTTAAGCACTCAAATTTTAGCTACGGTTACTATGTGCCCTGGGTGCTGTTTTAAGGGTCTGACATATCTGAACTCATTTAGTTCTTAGAACATCCCTATGAAGTAGGTGCTACTAATCTCCATTTCACACGAGGAAACAGAGGCATAGAGGGTTTAAGTAACTTGCCTAGAGTTATTCAGCTGGTAAGTGGTAGAACAAGATTGAGCCCGGCCGGGCAGTCTGGCTGCAGAGCTGCTATGCTTATCCACTACACTGAGTGCCTACTAAGATCCTACTGTGATCAGTCCAGGGACTGCACCAGCTCAGATAAAGTTGATACCAAAGTTATGGATTTTTAAAAACAATGTACATAAATGGCTTTGCTATCTATGTTAAAATGTAGGTAGTAAGTACTCTGGTTATACTGATAAACCATTGTATGGTCACTCACTGGTTAGGAACGGTCTTTTAGTGGTATTCTGTGAGGGAACAAGGGGAGAAGGAGAAAGATAAACTCCCTGGTCCCATGGGGTCTGACTTTAGGGAAAGTGCTGCTCAGGCCCAAGCCAAGCTTAGTCATCAGAGACTGGTCCAGAAAGAAGAGAGAAGTTAATAGATAAGGGTACCTCAGTCCTAAGAGATGAAGCAGTTGAATGGAAACTCTTAAACAGGAGTTAGTTGTAAGATACAGAAGCTCCCAGTAAATTCAGAGGGAGAGGCAACAAGGTTTTGTTCTTAGTATGGTGTTGGAGCTACTGTTAACAAGACTTTTTCCTATTACCCTAATATGCATTGCTTTCTTTGGGGAAAGTGGAAAAATTGAAAATATGAGGAACTAGGTGACTAAGATAAGCTGGGGATATTGAAGGCACAAAACTTTTGGGGTTGGAAGAACCCAGAAGTGAAAGGGAAAACCCTAACAGCTTTTGCTAACTCAAAATTTTACTTGAGGCTGATCCTACTTGCTCTTCCTTCCAATTCAGAGGCCAAGGCAGTTGTTAGCAATTCAGGACTCAATAGTAAGGGTAGGAAGTTAACTTCAGGAGATGTGTAATTGTCTAGTCAATCGATATTTGGGAGTCTGGGAAGAGCTGTTCCCTGGGCTGAGGCCACAAATAATGGGAAGATGCTGAAGTGAGGCCAACAAGCATGTGGAAATCATAGTTTGTACATTCAGGTGTTAAAGGGTTACAGGGTAACTGCACTTGGTTTTGAATCTGGCCATTACAATGCTGTTTTCCTTTGAAGGAAATGAAATGGCAGGTGAGAATCTCCAGTATACAAAGGGCTTCCTCATCACTTTTTCTCTCCCCTGTTCTGCAGCACCTGCCACCCAGCCCAGGGACCCCAGCAGGGAGTGCATCGACCAGCCGGAGCTGGCCAATTGTGATTTGATCCTGCAGGCCCAGCTCTGTGGCAATGAGTATTACTCCAGTTTCTGCTGTGCCAGCTGTTCCCGCTTCCAACCTCATGCTCAGCCCATTTGGTAGCAAGGATGAAGGCTAGCTCCAACCCCAGTTCCAAGACAGTTCTTTGGGCTGGGGAGAAGGGAAGATGGACTCTTGACCTCTCTTTGGCTGGCAAAGGGAGTTATATTCTGGAGACACTGGCCCTTTTGAAAACCCACCCAGTGTGAGTCTCAGCAGTAGCCAGTACTGGCCTCCCTGTGTAGTGATCAGCAGTGTTTATGTCTCTGACACAACCACAGCCTCCTGATTCGTTGTCAAAAAAAGGAATCTGTTTGGATAAGAACCTCTACTTAATAGCTTCCCTTTGTAATTTGTTACACAGAATCAGTTCACTGCATTTGTTTTTAAATTCTTTTTTAGAGATTCTTGTTCTGTCACCTTGGCTGGAGTGTAGTAGCATAATCATAGCTCACTGCAGCCTCAAATTCCTGGGCTAAAGCAATCCTCTTGCCTCAGCCTCCCAAGTAGCTGGAACTACAGACATGCGCCACCATGCCCGGCTAATTTTTTCTATTTTTAGTAGAGACAGGTCTTGCTCTTGCTGAGACTGGTCTTAAACTCCTGACCTCAAGTGGTCCTCCCACCTCGGCCTCCCAAAGTGCTGGGATTACAGGCATGAGCCACCATGCCCAGCCAGTCTACCACATTTTAAAGTAAGCCATCAGGGCTCTCATTTGATTTTAAGCTGGGCAGGGAGGTGTATAATGACGTGAAAGTTAACACCTGTCTTATAAGGGGAATGCCAACTCTTGTTGTGTCAGAGAAGTACTCTTTGCTAAACTAAGTCTTACCTGTGGTCAAACTGTTCATTGCTCTAGTTTCTCTCATAGTGCAACAGTCAGCTACAAATCCTGTCTGTACAAAGGGTTAACAGCATAACCCTCATTGGCAAAGTAGAATATATGTAAGGCTTGGAGTAGGGATTTGGGATGAAAGCCGCAGTTAGCACTATTATCTGAGCATGAAAGAGCTGGAAAAGCTTACTCCATCACAAAGCTGGACCCTGAAGCCCTCCTGAGACCGACCTGCAAAGCTGGCTGTGAAAGTTCATCTGACACCTCTATGAAACTGACTAAGCTCTGTACAGTGACAACGAGGAGCCCCTACTCTTCCTTAAAAGTAAGTAGGAATCTGTGAAGCAAAATGTTTGCCACCAGAGAAAAACCAAGACTATACTAACAGCATTACCAGGATGGGGATACTAATGGGAGGGGGTGGTGAGGGCAATGCAATAACAGCGAAGTGGTTTCAGAAATGGTTTGAGTTAGAGGAAATCATTCTTCATCTCTCAGAACTTCTGATTCTTCCATGCTAAAACAAGAGGTGTGAATTTAGTAAACTTCCAACTTTCTACAAATCCTCCAGAGGACTGTCTGTATCAAATGTTATTGCTGGACACAGGAAAAGACAGGCATTACAAGGACAAAGCACTATAAGGTGACTTTTATTACTAACACATTGGCCGGAAAAGAGACGAACTACATCATGGGTGAGTGATACTTCTCAGTCTACCTCTCATTCAAAAAAGGAACATGGGCCAGGGGCAGAGGTCTTTTTTTCTTTCCATTAAGAAAATACAGAGGAATATCCCCTTTCATTTACCATGGCTGGTTTTGCTACAGAAATTGGAAAATAAGGGCCACTTTCTTGGACCCTCCAGTTTAACCCAAAATTTGGCCTACTGGTATATATACTTCAGAAGGTAAGTTTGAGGTTAGCTTGCCCTTTGCAGGTTAGTTCTAATAATAGAACTAGCCACAGAATATAAGATTAGAGGTGAGAGTAAAATCACTCTAGACCAGTGGTTCTCAACCCTCTTCCATACTGGGAGCTTAAAAAACTGAACCTGGGGTTCTCCCCTCCTGAAATTCGATTTTAATTGTACTGGAGTATAGGCCAGCCATTAGGATTTTAAAAGCTTCCCAGGTAATTCTTCTGTGTAGCCCAGGCTGAGAAGCACTGCTCCAACCCTGAGGTGGAGGCTGAGATTCTGCATTTCTAACCAGCTTCTAGGTGAAGTCCATGCTGCTTTTCCAGAACACACCTTGAGCAGCAAGAATGTGACTTTAGAGATGCACGCAGGATCAAGCCAAACTTAAAAGTATGAGTGAAAATATGAATTTTAAGGATATTCTAGTCCTAATAAATGATTTTCTGGCCACTAAACTAGGGATCTGCAGCAGCCATAGAATGGAGAGAGAATAAGTCGAAAAAACCCCAAAGTAAACTCATTTGCTTAAAAAAAAAAAAAAAGGGAAAGAACAGCCCTTCATGGGCAAAAGCTTCTACCACGAACATTTATTTTTGTTAAAGCAGATTATAAATTCTCATCAGTACAAATATATATAACTTACATTTGATTGTAAGGCCAGCATTCAAAAGTAAAAATAAGATGGGATCTCATGTTACCCAAAGTCAAGTGGCTGCAACTGGCAATGGGGGATGTTCTGCTCACCAAAAACGTCGGGGTGGCACACACACAAAGCTAATAAAGAAGAATCCCCATACCCACAAAACTGTGGAAACAGAATTTAAAGGCCAAAACAAGACCCACATTATAAACCAACACAGTAACCTGTGTTCCCTTCTGTGGTATGATTATGTCATTGTTTTACCTTAGTGTTAAAACAAAGTAAAGGATTAACATAAGGAAATTGCAGCAATATATAAAAGATAATACATAATCTCTATAGAGCATATTAAGATTGATTCCATTAAAATAATGACATTAGAATTTCACCATAGGTTTAAAACCAGGACAATACTGCTTTCATTATTTAAAACTACAACCTAGTGACTGCATTGGTCATAAGCATGATTGTTGTTGCAATGTGTTACTTACAATGAATGATAGTAAACAAGCTAGGGATCCCGTCTGCAACTTCCAATCTTTCCTCCTTTTATTTCATCAATGATAAATCAATCTTATGTACAATTTCTTACAACTAACCCTTTTACCTTTGGCAAGATTACTTACAACTCATACAACTTTCTTATATTGAGAACTATTTAAAATATTCTAAATGCATAAAAATAAAGATTTTGGCTTTTTTGATATATATAATATTTATTCTGTTACTTAAAATGGAAGCTCAACTTCACCCCCAAAATATAGCTCTGCTGGGCAGTTGCTGATATGCCCTCCTGGGAATTCTGGCAGCACAGCCTGCCCCCTCTCTTCCCTAGCCTGAGCACAAACCAGTCTATTCTTGATCTCTAAGGCCAGTACTGAGAGGAGGCAGGTGAATGGCCTGAAAAACAAAGGGAGATTGTTATGCTTCCCGTTGTGTTTTATATTCCAGTAAATGTGCTTTGAATACAGATTCCTGTTCAGATATGTCTGCCTCTCTGTTGCCAGAGATTTGTAAGGGGGTGAGGGAAGAGGGGGTACAGAGGGCAACATTTCCTCGACTACTTTAGCCTAACTAACTGCAAGGCAGCTTTTTTCTAGGAATGGTTTTCTCCATGTCTTTCAAAATCACCCCTTACTGTACTCTGTTTTCTGGACTTGTGCCTTGGGACCTTTGGGATTAGTGAAAAGAGTACTGATCAGGAAGACAAAGTCCCCTTTGCTCCTTTGACCTCTGCCCCCTGTCTAAGTATGGACAACATCCATAAGCCATAGGGATTGCTTAAAGTTCAATTTCAAACGTCTTCTGTAAGTCACTGGAGAAAGGGTTGGTAGGGGAAGGATTAGTACGCTGCTTGGACTTGTTTTCTAATGCAGCCCACTGGGCTTCAAAAGGATCCACAGGGCAGGTACCTGCAGGAACCTCTGTGTGCTTGTCTCCTGAGGCCAACCTGCCATCGTCTACACCATTGAAAGCTGCAGAACCGTTGAGGTGCTGAGCAGGAGGCTTAAAGAAGGGACTGGTGGTAGTACTGCTCGTCTCATACGGAGGGAATGTCTGCTGCTTGGCCAGGCTGGGTGACTGATGGGGGTGGGCAGCCTGAGGATGGGTTGCAGTGCCAAACACATTGGCTACCATCTGAGACGGAGTGATGCCCACCACAGGCACATTAGGGGCTGGATAGGGCATTCCGTTGGCCACAGGATAGGACTGGGCAGGGACAAAGGCTGGCTGCAGGGGTGGGACCACACCCACTGGCACAGGCTGAGAGGTGAGGAATGCGTTCCCTTGGAAAGGTGGTGCTGGATGGGAGATGGCAGTGGGTGGAGGCGGCTGGAGAACTGGCTGCAAAGGAGCAGCTGAGGCCTGGGGCGGCTGAGCCCGGACGCTCTTAGACACCTCTTCTAACCATCGGTCGGCTTCAGAGGGAGTACGTCTATGACCAGCCTGGAAGAGACCTGGAGAGGCAGCACCAGAAGATTGACCCCACTCGGTCCCTGGAAACAAGATGAAGAGAGACAAAAGAATCAGTTAGGGGGCCTCTTTCCTCACCTTTTAACCTTGATTATTTGATCTTAACATGTGGAACAAGTCCCCCTAATGGGACATTTTGTGGTTTTGGGAGATGAGAAGACTTTGTGGTAGGACGAAGAGAACCTGTCAGGCAATGATGCTGTCTCAGCCACGTTGAGGCATTTTCTAGATATGGCTCAAATTCATTGAACCAAGGCAGCTGGCTGGTGTCAGAATCCCTTCCCTGTTGCAATGGCTCATCCATCAATACAGCAACTAGCTTACAGATGCTCTAACAGGCCTGAGGTGATTCATCTTCTGCTCTAACAGGGCAAAAAGAAAATAACCAAGGACCTGGCCTATGCCTGGCAGCCCCTGCCTGGCTTCCAGACATACGGGGTCTTTCTGGTGAACTGCCTTTATGACTATTTTAAAACTTCTTGGTTTTATAGATGTTCATTATAGAAAAACTAACACAGAAAAGCAAAAATAAAGTGCTTTTTGTAGGACTTTTTGTAGTCCTGCCATTGCAGGAGGCAGGGTCCCCTCTTCCTACAGGTATATCCACACATCACCAAATCCAGTGATGGATTCTCTGAGGTGGAGCCCAGGAATCTGCATTTTATAAAAGCTCTTTCATAAAAGTTCAGTTCCATAGTCGTAAGGACTATAAATCTGATCTCTTTTGTTAATCTCTTTAGCCATCCTCTCCTAATAGATTATTTCTAGGAGGGAACATCCTTGCCCTAAAAGGATTGCTTCCTAGTTCCCATTCAGGTAACTGGCTGATTTTAGAACCAAGGTCACTTATCTGATCCCAGAATCCTCACCACCATCTATGGCCACCTTACCCGAACATGTGGCTGCAATTTCCTTGTTAGCAGCATCAGGGGCATGGGCCCAGGGGTTGGTTTCACGCACAGGCATTGCTACAGGTGAAAGAGCAGTATGGGCTGGCTTAGCAGCAAGCACATGGAAGGCTGAGTCAGTGCCATTAGCTACAATGGGAGCAGACAACATCAATGCAGTTAATTCATGCGGGGTGTACAAGTGATCCCTTGGAGTTGGGTCAGTCAGGCCAATGTATGATACTGGTGGAACAGATAAGACAGAAGAGTTGATGCTGTTGGGATAACCATGCTCTCTTGCAATGGATACATATACCTTTGGTCAAAGAGGGAATTAGAGGTTATAATTAAAATGGTCGTACCAATAAAGTCAAATGATTGTACTAGGGAAATACGTACATGGGAAGAAATGAAAATGAAGCCTACAAAAACAATTTCAGGCTGGTGCAGTGGCTCACGCCAGTAATCCTAGCACTCTGGGAGGCCTAAGTGGGAAGATTGCTTGAGCTCAGAAGTTCAAGACCAGCCTGAGTGAGAGTGAGACCCCATACCTACTAAAAATAGAAAAAATTAGCCGGGCATGGTGGCATGTGCCTGTAGTCCCAGCTCCTCAAGAGGCTGAGGGCAGGAGGATCACTTGAGCCCAGGAGTTTGAGGTTGCTGTGAGCTAGGCTGACGCCACGGCATTCTAGTCTGGGCAACAGAGGGAGACTCTGTCTCAAAAAAACCCCAAAAAACAAACAAAATTTCAAATTAAGTTGAACAGAGCTGTGTTTATTAATTAGCCTTTGGCGTAATTAAATAAAAAAAATTTCCCTCTTCTATACTTTTCCAAAAGGCCAAATTATGCCAGCAATAATAATGGGTTAAATATAATGACTACTCCAAGATGTTTCCTTCTTAAAACTTAAAAAAAATATACATATATATATAATGATTCCTTATTATGTGCTAGGCACTAGACTAATAGTATTTTATATGCATCATCTCATTTAGTTCTCTTAAAACTTACATAAGGCTGGTATTATCCCCATATTAAAGATGAGAAATCAAACAATATGTTTTCATTTGCTTAATAAATTTGTAATTTGCTGCATAATTTCATCACTCTGTTTAAGATTTTTTTCCCTCAGTAATGTTCATAACATCTCAAAGTACCTACTATTCTTTCCTCATCTTCCTTTATTAAAATCTCTTAACCTTTATTCCAGATATCTATACCAGTTTCTATGCTTTAGCTCAGCTCTCTATCATATTTAATACGGAGCAGACAAGCACCTTCCCCTGCCCTACAGTATAATTATTCCCTCTTAAGACTGGCAACTATGCCTATGGTGTTGGTACTAAAAGACTGTCTAAAAAAAGACTGTCTCATCTAGAGACCAGTATCTCCTTAAAGGCAGGGAAAGGAAATTGAAATGTTCTATTCAATTTTGTACACTCAGTGCCTTGTAAACAGATAGAGTCAGTAGAATGTAATGGGTACTATATTCAAAAATACTTGAGTTTAAATCCTGGCTGTATGATTTGGGCAATTTACTTAATTTCCCTGAGCCTCATTTTTCTCATCTATAATACCTACCTCATGGGGTAGTTGGGGGATTAAATGAGACAATGAATCAGTACTTGCCACAATGTGGCAGGTACTGTGCTAAGTGCTTAATAAATTGTGCCTATTATTATTATTGGTCTTATGTTTGTTAGATGACATGAAAAGCTATTTGGTGCACATGACTATAAAGATTTACTTAAAGTGGGAGAGCAAGAGAAAGACGCCTGGAGGAAAAGCATGTAGCTTCCTCCAAAAGGAGGAGGGCACTGTCTCCAGAGCAGAACTTTCTCTGAGCCCTCTTCTCAAAAGAAGTGGAGAAAGAGTAATTATAGGAGCTCTAATTCTAGAAGTTTGTAATTTAAATTACATAAATTTTTTTGTTGACCTCTGAGTCAATATTCACTGTTAATTCAGCACCTCTGAGTCAATATTCACTGTTAATTCAGCATCTCTGAAAATAACTTGTAAGTTCTTCAATGCCACAAAGGCAAATTTGAGGACACTGTTATAGAAGATGAAATGAACTAAAGAGCCAAAAGAAATGCCTTATTATTTATGAGCCTTCTTGTTACATGATAGAGACTAGGCCGAGTCCAGGGCTTCTCAGCCATGGCACTACTGACATTTCAGGTGGGATAATTCTTTGTTGTAGGTGCTGTCCTGTGCACTGATGGATGTTTAGCAGCATTCTTGGCCTCTAACCAGATGCCAGTAACAACACCCCTCTCCTCAACTTGTGAAACCCCAAAATGTCTCCAGACAATGAATAACAAATTTTGCCCCCAGTTAAGAACCATTGCGCTAAAGAGAGAATAAAATTTGAACCAATTCTGATGACTATTGCTTTTGGAAAACTGGCTGGACACTCTGACCCTTCATAGTCAAACGGCAAATAAAGCAGTAGGTTGGGACTATAGAAAAGTCCTAATAGAATAGGATGAAAAATGGGCACATACATGCAAACTGACAAAAGCAAACATCTTAGGAAACAGGAAGGGGAACAAAGCACAAAGACATTGTTGAACAGGGAAATCAATGAATCTAAGACATTACCAAAGGGGGAAATTAATGGGTCTAACCAGCTCTTGGGAAGCTCAGGATGCCAACTTACAGTTAGTGAGCTGCATATTAAATGTACTAGTTTTAAAGAGAACAGCTGAGCAAGTCAGAGGGCACCAACCTTGGAAGGCAGGAGACTGTGGTGCCACCACTGTTACTGGTTTGGTCATCGGGGCAGAAGAGAAGGGGTCCTCCGAAGGGGTGCTGAAGGCATTGGTGATCTGTGAGCACAGGGAGCTGATGCTCTCTGCCTCCCCTTCTACCTCTGGCACTGCAAAGCAAATAGAAAATGGCTTAATACAGAAAAATGGAATAATCCTAAAATATAACAGATGACACAAGCTACCATTTGATACTGTATGTGGAAGAAAAAGACTCAATTAACTGTCTGGTAGGGCTACAAACGCAGCTTCAAACATTTTGCTGAGCATGATTTCACTGGCTTTTCAGATGAGAAAGTATAAAATGTCAACAATTCACGTACTAAGGTACACCTTCTTCCTTTGCAAATCCCCAAATTTCTTTATTTCCTTTTCTTGTAACTTGGGAATTTGGTGTTCTCTTTTTGTGCTAAGATGTTCACCTAACTAGAACTTTCTAGAAGACATCTGTAACCTGTATGCCTTCTGACCTGTTCCCAAGGCTGTGGTCTGAATTGAGTTCTGGAGCCAGTTAGTAATTCTGTCAGAAAAATGGGTTAAAGTCTGAGGCACCAGTGGATGCTTAGTGCTTTTCTCTGTAACAAACTGTGATAATGTCATCACTCTCATTTTTCTCCCAAGTGTCTAGTACCAAGTACATGAACAGTGATAACATGAAAAAGTGAACATAGGTATAGTACTCTAGAGACTTTGTTCTTAATACTGATTCTAGGATACTTTTATATCACTGAGGAAGCTAATTATGTGTGCTGAACATTTGTTTGCTCTTCTGTAAAAAGAATAGTTTTGTTCCCCATCTGCGACAGAGGGACACTAAAACAAGGTACTTGAAGCATCTGGGGTTTCAGTTTTTATAGGAATTGGGAGCTAAAAAGACCCTCAGTAATCATCTAGTCCAACTATTCTTTAGGCCTAGTTTCATCTGTCAAAAGAACTTAACTCTACTTTTATACCATCAGTGGGAATGCCCTATTGAGAAGAGCTTCCTCATATTCTGTTACAGCAATGTCTTGACATGTCTCAGAGAGAAGCAAAATAAGGCCCAATAAAAGCACTGACCAGATTTAACACTTTAGCTTCAGATTATCTGATGAGGATAGAGCTACAGGGGCTAGCTCAGCTGTACAGAGGCACACAAAGGCCTGTGTGGCAGTTCTGAGAGGTAATGAATATTTGTGAGCAAGCCCACTGTCTATGATGAACAATAGATTCCATATATATAGGAGAGACCTGTTCAGAGTTTCCTCCCATGGAGCCAACCAGCCAGAAGGACAATGAGCACTTATCCATTTCTTCTGGTACATCTGCTAGTAATTCTATTTAAATGTATATATTTCTAAAGCCTCTTTAATTAATTCCCTGCTGGGTCCCAAATGGAAGAATAAGAATGGAAACTTGAGACCCTTGATGTCTGCAAGCAGTTTGGCTGAGAGGTAGTGGCTAGTTTGATGGGATTACTGTCTCCACGGGAAGGTGATAATAGTGCTTTAGTGCTAGAGTACCCACTGAGTCAGGTAGTTGCTGCATTACCTGCATTTTTTATGGGGAAATCAGTCTTCCTCTGCATAGTGGAAGGCAACTCATTGATGCGTAGGGATAGTTGGCGTTTAAAGGGTGACATCTTCTGGCTAAGAGCAGGAAATCCTCGGAAAGAGCCTTGGCGAGCAAGCTGTTCAATCGGCGCGTGCCGGCGTGGGATGGCATGAGGATTGTTCATCTCCAGAGAGGCAGTAGCATCCGAAGTGGGAGAGGTGGGAGAGGATGGGGATGGGGCAGTGTTGCCAGAGGCCACTGATGAACCAACAACTGTCTTATCTGTTTCAGCTCAAAAAAATCAAGAGAAAGAGGACCTTAGCAATGTCTTCAAATAATTTGAGTTTATGGAGCTGACAAACTCAAAAGCTCTTTAGATCCTTTTTATCCATCTCCTTCCCAATATTTTTTATTTCTTTTTTTTTTTTGAGACAGAATCTGGCTCTGTTGCCCAGGCTAGAGTGCCGTGGCGTCAGCCTAGCTCACAGCAACCTCAAACTCCTGGGCTGAAGCAATCCTTCTGCCTCAGCCTCCCAAGTAGCTGGGAGGGACTATAGGCATGCACCACCATCCCCGGCTAATTTTTTCTATATAGATTTTTTTTTTAGTTGTCCAGCTAATTTCTTTCTATATTTAGTAGAGACGGGGTCTTGCTCTTTTTCAGGCTGTCTTGAACTCCTGAGCTCAAATGATCCACCCGCCTCGGCCTCCCAGAGTGCTAGGATTATAGGCGTGAGCCACCGCGCCCGGCCCCCAATATTTTTTAAAACATAGGTTAGAAGCAGGGTTCAGATCTATTTTTTGGAGAGAAAAAAGGTTTAATAACCTACTATATGTCACACAGTATATCTACTAAGACAAAAATGTTAGATCTTTTATTCTTAGGCAGTGATTTATAATTTGACTTCAAACACCCCATTTCTATGAACTCCTAATATGAGGTCCTTTAAAGCAGCAGCCCCAACCTTTTTGGCATCAGGGAGCAGTTTCATGGAAGACAATTTTTCCACGGACTGGGGGATAGGGGTGGGGGTTGGGGTGGGGGTGGGGATGGTTTCAGGATGATTCAAGTGCATTACATTTATTGTGCAGTAACCTCTCTGCTAATGATAATCTATATTTGCAACCACTCCCCAGCACTAGCATCACCACTTCAGCTCTACCTCAGATCATCAGGCATTAGATTCTCAGTAAGGAGCATGCAACCTCAATCCCTCACTTGTGCAGTTTACAGTAGGGTTCCTGCTCCTATGAGAATCTAATACCACTGCTGATCTGACAGGAGGTGGAGCTTATGCGGTGATGCCAGTGATGGGGAACAGGTGGAAATACAGATGAAGCTTCACTGGCTCACCCTCCGCTCACCTCCTGCTGTGTGGCCTGGTTTCTAACAGGCCACTGACCGTTACCATTCCACCCACTCCACGGCCCTGGGGTTGGGGACCACAGCTTTAAAGAACGGTGATTCAGGTTAGGTGTGGTAGCTCATGCCTACAACCCCAGTGCTTTGAAAGGCTGAAGGAGGAGGATTGCTTGAGTCCAGTTCTAGACCAGCCTGGCCAACATAGCAAGACCCTGTCTCTATGGGGGAAAAAAAAAAATTAGGTGTCGTGATGTGTGCTTGAAGTCCCAGCTACTCAGGAAGCTGAGGCAGGAGGATCACTTGAGCCCAAGAGTTTGAGGCTATAGTGAGCTATAATCATGCCACTGCACTCCAGCAGCCTGAGCATCACAGCAAGATCTTGTCTCTTAAAAAAAAGTGATGGTTCATGGTTTTCAGTGTTTGTTTGGTGGTGGTGGGATGAGGGGGGACTTTGGGAGTGACAGAATCTAAATCAGCTGAAGTATATACATACACTTTTGATTAGGTGTCAAAGAATGTCATATAAAGGAGTCTTTAAATCATGGAAAATACGTATTTGTGGTTTATTTTAATAAAAGCATATAGAAGTAAAATTTTAAATTGGATTGAACCTAAATATAAGACTGTTCCCATGGGGGTACCAGTTGAGTCCCATTCTGATTATAGCAAATCTACCCCAACCGTTATGATCCTTTGTGGATCTTAGGACTCAATCTCTTTGGTGCTGCTGTGCATAGCAATGAGTATTATTTGGTAGCATTAAAAATTTTGTTTTCAGGCCAGGTGCGGTGGCTCACGCCTGTAATCCTAACACTCTGGGAGGCTGAGGCAGGTGGATTGCTCAAGGTCAGGAGTTCGAGACCAGCCTGAGCAAGAGCGAGATTCCGCCCCCCCCTCGCCATCTCTACTTAAAAATAGAAAGAAATGATCTGGACAACTAAAAATATATATATATAGAAAAAATTAGC